TATATATATATTTAGTATGGTGAGTGAGCATTGTCACCCTAGCACAGGATGTGTATTACTGGTAGGATAACCAAGTAAAAATAAAGGAAAGAGCCTGAAAAATAAAAATAATGCAGTAACCTCTTCTAAGGACTTGTGAGCACTAATATATTACATTTCCATTCTTGGGATTAAAAATGCTTTAAGATTTAGTATGGTGAGTGAGCATTGTCACCCTAGCACAGGATGTGTATTACTGGTAGGATAACCAAGTAAAAATAAAGGAAAGAGCCTGAAAAATAAAAATAATGCAGTAACCTCTTCTAAGGACTTGTGAGCACTAATATATTACATTTCCATTCTTGGGATTAAAAATGCTTTAAGAAGGATGCAGAGATGTTTTTCTACTTGCTCAACTGTCTTCCCATATTTAGAATGCTCTTGGAGAAGGGGGAGTGAGTTTAATTTTTCTTCCCAGCACATTCTGAGAAATTGCCAGCAAGCTCACTGTTGCTTTCATACACTCTGGTTAGGTTGCCACTTTGGGTATGTCAGGAGCCATATAAATGAAATCTTTACAGTTATGGTACAGTTATATTGAATTAGTTGATCAAACTTAAGCCAGACCTTTAGGCAAAACCTTATCATGGGTATATGTATGTATGTATGCATGAGAAATATATAAAGGTTAGCATAAGACAATATTGAGCAATTTATATTGTAAAATGTTAATCCATTATCTTTTATATGTATTGCTTTTCGTGATGTTAAGGTTAAAATCCCAAACCATGATGAGCTAATGGAGACAAATGCTATTACAGATCATCCCAAGGTATGTGATTCTTGTTCCTTGTAAGCTGCTAGTATAGTGTTTGCCCTTGAGATACTATAACACCTGTGATCCATAAATTGTGTACAACAAAGATATTATAATACATATATTGAGGAGGGCGCATGCGCGGACTTCAGCGGGCCAGATGTCTGCTCCGCTCCTAGACGGATCTGAATCCTCGCTCCCGCAGCAAATGGCACCGGCAGCGTATATCGGGGAGAGCTGTGGGGATTCCCCTTATCGGATCGGCAGTTCACGATGGCCGCGGAAACGTCTAAGAAGAAGGACACGCAGTGCTCGAAAACGGCAAGCAACAAAATTAAGATGGCGGCGGTGCCGAGCCCTCGTGGGCGCAATGATATCTCACAGAGGAGAGGAAATGAGTCGGCTTCCACGAAGAAGGCAGTGGTGAGTACCCAGTCTAGAAGGGAGCGCACTCCTGCCTCAACGTCTTCATTAATTGAGAGAACTTTGAAAGATATGCTTTTGTCACAGCAGGCCTTTCTCCCCTCTATCCCTCTTAATGCTGATGCAGAGGTGGATTTGGGGAGAGGGATGGAAGGTGATAATATTTTAACTCAGTTCTCTGAAATGCTGGAACAGGGGCTGAATTAGATGGCCAAACAAATCACTACTGAGATTAGATCTGATATCAGAGATTTGGGTATGCACATAGACTTTTTGGAAGCAAAATTAGATAAAACCATACTGTATACTAATCAAAATATGACAGCTATATGGCATCTCCAGAATCAATTGGATGAAGTTTTTTCTAAAGTTGATGATTTGGAGAATAGATCACGTTGTTACAATTTTCGTATTAGAGGGCTCCCTGAAACGGTTACTGATTTGGATTCAAATGTGAAGCTCCTTATGAAAGAATTATTACCTGAAGTGGAAGATCATAAGTTGGAGTTGGATAGAATTCATCCTGCTTTCACGGCTAAGAGACCTGATGGGCACGCCAGAAATGTTATCGTTAAACCGCACTTTTATAGTATAAAGGGACAGATTATGCAAAGTGCTAGGAAACGTTCAGATCTTTTTATCTCAGGACATTCAATCTAAATCTTTGCTGATATTTCTCCAGCTACAATACAAATAAGGCGTACTTTGAAACCTTTGCTACAGGCCTTAATATTCAAGGAAATAAAATACAGATGGGTGTTCCCTTTTAGGTTGACATTTTGTTGACACAGGAATAAGCCTTCTTCCATTACAACATATCCTGAAGGTGAAACACTATTGAGACAGTTGGGACTGCTCCCTGAGGATTCGGAAGCATTGCATTTGGATAATAGTGGCTGGGCTGATCATAGGACACTGCCCAATATCTCCCCTGTGGCATAAACCGCAGGGAAGATCGTCATCTCCTTCAGGTGGAAGGAGCTAGAGGGACTTTTCTTTTTCTCTTCTGTTTTTTTTTTCCTTAATAAGAGTTGTATATGTTGTATAAGTTATGCAAGGATTGATCACTTTTTGGTTTCAGCTTTTTATGTACAATTGGTTTCTTTTGTTAAAATTAAGGAGGCGGTTTGGTCAGATCACTCGATATTGGTGATGTATTGCACTTACGGATATAACGAAAACACGATGTTGGAGATTGAATGAATCTCTGTTCAATAGCTTAGATGCACAAATGGAAATAAAGTCACATTTAGAAGATTACTTTGATATTAAGGAGACACCTGAGACGTCGGTTACTATGGTATGGGCTGCCCACAAAGCTACAATTAGGGGACACCTTATAGAACTGGCCACTAGAATTAAAAAACTGACAAATAAACGATTTAGACCATGAGCTTCAGAAATTGTCTAAAGCCCACAAGTTAACTTCATCATTACAACTTTTAAACTCTATTGATAAAATCCGGCTAGAATTAAACTTGATGTTAACTATAAAGGCTGAGAGAAGCATTAGGTGGACAGATAATAATAAATTCTATACGTAGGGTGATAAAATAGGAACACTTTTGGCTAATAAACTTGCTCCCAAGCCTAGGAATTATTCAATGCCCAAGATACGCTGCTCTACAGAGAAGGTATGTAGAAGGATTAAGAGAAGGTAAGTACCATTCTCTTAATCCACGAATGGTACTTACTGAATTCCATTCGTTTTTCGTTGACATTTATCGGGACCACGCCCCAGTGTCCGGAAACATGTTAGGAGCATTTTTAGATGATATGACGTTGCCAGGGCTCTCTCCTGAACATAAGTTGATCATGAAGGAACCGATAACAGCCTTGGAAATTAAAATGGCAATAAAACAGACAAAGCTTGCGTCGGCCCCTGGTCCAGACGGATTGCCCATAGTTTACTATAAAACATTTTCGGAGGTTTTGATCCCTCGAATGGATATGTTTTTTAACAACCTTAGGAGGGGAGGATGCTTAGACTCTGATCTTAATAGGGTATTTCTATCAGTCATTCCTAAACCTAATAAAGATCCCGGGGAGGTTTCCAATTATAGGCCAATATCTTTAATTAATAATGACTTAAAAATCTTGACTAAAGTTTTGGCTAATAGATTGAAAGCTTTCTTACCTAAATACATACATAAAGACCAGGTCGGTTTCATAGTAGGTCGCCAGGGCCCAGACCAGATAAGAAGGGCAATAGATATTATGACGCTGTTGCATTCAGGTTGGGACGGGAGCCCTTCTCAGTATGGCATGTTTCTGTCTGTGGACCTCCAGAAGGCTTTCGACTCGGTCTCATGGCACTATTTATTCCCTCTTTTGGAAAGATGGGGATTTGGCCCATATTTTATGGGCATATTGAGAGTCTTTATATGACCATCCATCGGCACAAATAAAAATGCAGGGATACTTATCAGAGACCATTCCGATATTTCAGGGCACTAGGCAGGGATGTCCACACACTCCATTGCTTTTCGCGCTGGTGATTGAACATTATCGACATACGTGAAAATACAGATATTGGAGGGGTTCTTTGTATTTCTTATGAACATAACTGTGCTTTATTTGCTGATGATTTATTTGTTATTATTTATTACCCCTCCTCTAATAACACTGCCAAATGTATTGAAATTATTGAACCATTTTTCTAAAATATCGGGATTGCGGGTGAATACAACAAAATCTCTAGCCCTCAATGTGAATCTCCCTCGAGATATATGGCCTACGTTAAGGGAACATTTTGCATTCAATTGGGCTGATGACGCTGTCCAATATTTAGGAATTAAGCTTACGGCGTCCTTTGCCCAATTTGTATAGCAGAAACTATGCTCCATTATTTCGCCAGTTAAGTCATTTTTTGGCTTATTTGACGCTTATTTGACGTTGCCGGAGCCTTAAAGACAGTTTGCTACGGCATATGAGAGATGGTGCCGAGGAGATTAGGATCAGAATGGGGGTATTTCATTTACTCCCTACTAGTGGAGTTGGAGGAGAAATTGCCCTATATGATAGCATGGGACTGAGATCTGGCATTTGATATTCCTAGGGAGGTTTGGCAAAGTTGTTGCACGCGGGGATTCTTGGGACTGCTTAATGTATCCTTGATAGAAGCGAATTATAAAGTAATGTCTAGGTGGTCCTTGGGCCCTTCTAAGCTGGCTAAGATCTACCCGGAAGTGTCCTCTGCTTGCTTTAGAGGACGTATACACCCGGGTACTATGTACTCTACATGGTGGCAATGCCCTAAAATTAGATCTTTCTGGAACAGGCTTTATGCTCTTATATATAGAATTATGGGTGTTTGTGTTCCAAGAGAAGCCCAATATGTTTTGTTGAATAGTCCAATTCCAGGGCTTTCTAAGGCTCAGGATAGATTGATTTTTTTTCCTTTTCTTAGCGGCTAAAATTACTAAAGCTAAAGCTTGGAGGTCACCAAATATCTCTTTTAAACAATTTAAGTCAAAAATGTCATGGATTATGATGAGAAGATGAATAGCATGCTCCAGGATAATGAACGGAAATTTGAGTCAATATGGTCTCCTCGGATTATTTATAATGGTGTGAGAGATGATATATAAAGTATGACGGAGTTAGTGATGAGGGATGGGATTGCATTTTTTTGGAGTCTATTATTTTTCTACCTTTCCCCTATTCCTTCTTCCCTTTCCTCATCCCCCTGTTTTGGGGGTTGTTTAGATTTATATTATGGTAATAGACGTGATGTATATTTGGAAATTGTATGTTACGTATTATACATGAATTGGGCATAATATTTGCTATTTGATATTAATTTTTATATAACTTAAAAATAATGCCTTAATTAATATGATAAGTGTTCATAATTTTATGTCACTTTGGTATCGGTTGAGAGGGAGTACGGAGAAAGAAAAACTGTTAATGATATTAGGGAATAATATGATTGTTTGTTTTGTCTATGTTGATAATTATGAAAACAAATAAAAGACTTTAAAATAAAAAATGGCCATACACCACTAAGCACTAGCACTACTAATCACCATGGTGACCCGTGGAGAAGCTGTATAGGCAGTTTACAGCTAAGTGCTAGTAAAAAAATAGTTTAGAGCATCTTCACTTTGTATTTACATTTCTGCATTATTCAGAAATGATTCCTCAAATCAAATAGTAATTTCATTACTACACAAGAAAAATTAGGACAAACCCGTAAATATAACTTTAAAGTAGATATTGATTATTTTCCTAAAACAATACCAGCATGCTTGGGGGTGGCACTTTAAGAAATAAGAATCTGCTGCACGGGTGTTATGGAAAAGCTATAATTATACAGGGTCATTTTTTTTTTTTTAAAGGACAAGTTTACCTTTCTGATCTGCACACCTCCACAATTTTTTATAACCTGCATTTCACAGCAGTGTTCACCTCCTTTCTGCAGAAACTCTTCAGTGCTGGCTGCTCCTGTGTGATAAGTCCATTTAGACTTGAATGGGTTCAGATACTGATTGGAGATCCTAAAGAGAATTTCTGCAGAGTTGATGAAAACACCATGGCAGGCTACTGCTGTGATGTGGAGGTAAACAGGATGCTTGCCCTTGTGTATCAGGTCCTGGAAATCTTCTGCAGTGTTTGCTCAGCAGTACAGCCAAGGATCTAAGTACCTGTGATCATGGTAATGGAAGTGGCAGTGAGCAGGCCATGTTGATTTTCTCCTGTCTTCTCCATACTAACAAACCCTGTTCATTTGATCAAAACATACATGTAATACAAATATCCCAAGTTATTTCATGTTTAAACACGTATATAGGTGCCTGTGTTTCTGCTGATTAGTATCTTGCATTGTTCACAGGACCGCCTGGACCCTCCGTGTCACATCTCCAGTATCCATGAGTTGGATCTTTTCAGGTGCGCTACAATTGAAAACTAACTCCTGCCATGTTAGGTTAAATGTGTGGGTCCTATACATAGAACAGGAGTAAAGGTAAAAGCAAGCATAGCCCCATTCATTTTAATAAATGGAAAAAAGTGCAGGGAGGAAGGAAGACAGTGGCTGCTTGACTGAATTTGTGACAGAGCTCCACTCCTAGCATTTACAGGGTTTTTTCACAAAAGGGTGAAGAGTTTGGAGAAGGCAGGAGAAGTGAACAATCTAGGACAACATAGCTGAACTGGAAAGTGAGCTGAATTGGAGAATTTTTCCAAATCAGCTATTTTGTCCTAGATTGTTCACTTCTCCTGCCTTCTCCAAACTCTTCACACCTTTGTGAATAACCTTGTTAGTGTTTACTGCAGTGTTATGCAGAGAGCACTCTGTAGGACACCATCGGCTCCACAACACTCTGCATATTATAAATGAAATGTAAAATGCAGGTGCTGTGCTGAGTATTTACTTTTGAGCCCTGTGATGAATAGATAGCGTTATCTCCTCTACATTAAAAATTAAAAGGCCCCTAGGTGTGTAGGATACGGGGTGCTAGGCCTGCCCTTTATTTAACCTTTTGTCCATGGGTCATCAAAACTTTTGTGCCCAGACCACATTTTGATTTTTTGGTATGCACCAGTTTATTAAACAATAATTGTTTAACCGCTTTGCAGACCAAATGATTTTCACCTTTTACTTCAGCACATATGCAGCTTGTTAAATTTGATAATTAAAAAAAAAAAAATACTCTGAGTAGAGAAATGGGCACAAGTGCAAACAAATGCAGCTTTAAATGTATTTTCTAGAATTAATACTATTCCCAATATTTAAAAAAAACCAACACATTTCTGCTATTTATCTTCAATACAAGATCCCCAAATATGCATAGTTTTTGATACCTTTTGTCAATGCTGTACAGTTGATAAACAATCCTGTAATTTATCCATATAATTCACAGATAATGAAAAACTATCCTATCAAATTGTAATTAACAATCTAATCTGCTTTAATGCAAATCCTACCCTATCTAATATTGCCTGATATATTATCAGTTTTATTATTTGTGAAAACTTTTTGGCTAGATTCACACTGTTCCGTGTGCATGCAGCATGCTAATGCACATGCTTGAGTGTGAATCGGCAACTAAACTGCAGCACATAGATGTGAACCAGCAAAACGTTTTGCTGTATAATAATGGGTGGGTGTGAACAGGCCCTTTAAACTTAATTTTTTCTAGTATTTTTTAGCGATATAATGTGATTGCCTGTGACACAGTTCTCCTTTCCTGTAGCTACTGTGAGCTGGAGGAGATGTGACAGGCAACATATAATGCTTTTCGATCACACTGCTGGGTACTGCAGCAGGGACTGTGCATGTGTAAAGTGTATGTATGTCTATTCCTACACTAAAACCAGCTGTTTATTTTCTATATCTCTAGATCCCTCCAGTCTGTGCTGATGAACCTCCAGTTGCTATGGGAGTTGGTTTTACTTGGAGAACCTTTGGTTGTTATGGCACCTTCTCCCGCCATTTCCTCTGAGATTGTACTAGCTTTAACTGGGTAACAGCTTGTTTTTCCTTTGGAACTGTTTTGTTGTACGGCTGGCCATACATTGATTGTCTTTTCTTGTTCGGTTCTGTGGGTTGAACAAGAAGAAACACTCAATTTTAAACTGCTTGTATTGGCCAATCCCCCTCCTACTTGGCTATTGTATTTTGACAGCGGTGGGTGTGCTGATTAGCTGCAGTTGCTCTGTGGCCAAATATTTTTGGATCAACTTCTTTGTCAAAAGTCAACTGAAAAATTGACTTTTGTGAAACGGGAGTGGTGGGGGTTTGATAGCATGGATACTAGAAAGCCTAACCTGCTGCTTAAATGGCTAAACAGCACTAATAAAAACATGGGTTTGGTTGTATAGTAGTTGGCTTGTGATACTTTTACTTTTGTGGATTTCTATATAGTAGATTTAGTGACAGCCTCTCATATGTTGAGATTCTGACACACCTTCTAACATGAGAAAGAGGAACAGCTTTTACCAACACAATATATAGGCCACATACACACTACTGCCAAGCCCGACTTCCACAGACCATAAACAATTAAGTGTAAAAAATTATTTGCTAAGCTCACTGATGTTTATTACTTACTGATGTTTGATCCACTATTCATATTTAGTATTTATACTTACTATTTATACTTCCAGATGCTTGATCCAATATCTCTTTTTTATGCTAGCATTTGAAAACCACACATGCTAGAGTATAGAGCAGGGGTAGACAACCTCAGTACTCCAGCTGTGGTAAAACTACCAATTCCATTATGCCTCTGCAATGCCGCATGGGATTTGTAGGTACGCCATAGCTGGTATGCCAAGATTGCCTATCCCCAATTTGGAGCTTGAAGTGGTGGTTACTTTACAACACACACACAGGGACCATGGGGAACAAGAGTAGCCACCCCCCAGAAGGAAGGACAGTGTCGGCACCAATTCAGAGATGATTTGAGGATCTACAGCCGAGTGATACACAAATAAGATACATGCATTTCTCTTAATAACTAAGATATATTGTGTGCCCAGCTTAGATGTAAATAGTATTTATATCATTTTTAAGATTTAACTCCTGAGTTTAGTGTCACTTTAAAAGAGCCAAACTAGCTATGATATTAAAGGAGAACTGTGATTTCCACTCATCCTCCTAGTTAGAGCCGACCTGTGACAAAGAAGCTGTCACAGGTCGACTCCATCGATCGAGAAGTGAGCAGAAACATACACCGATCCGCTCACTTCCCGATCGTCTCCCTGCAGTGAGCTGTGACTGTTAGTCACCGCTCCCTGCAGGGATTCCCCCCTCCCCTCCTATCCTCCAGCGCTGAGTGGAGAAACGAACTGGGTAGGGGGTGGGAACAGCTGGCTCTGCCTCTAGATAAGTAGAGCCAGCTGTCACTCACTCAGATGGGTGGATCGTGACAGTATTGTCGGGATTCATCCCGGCTGCGGCGCTCTCAGTATATCGCAGGCATTAGCCTGCGATATACTAAGCTTTGGGTCGCGGGCGGAGGTTAGTATATGTCCTCTCATGACCCTAAAGTGAACTATGGGGAAAAACACTTACCCCATAGTTCTCTTTTAAAGTGTATGTAAAGCAAAGCCAATCCAAATGAACTCTCCTTTCAGGATTGTATTGCTGTTTGTCTCCACATTAAGGAGTTTCTTTCTAGTCAATGGGTCTAAAAATGAGATAAATTCCAAAATGTTGAGTCAACAGGACAGAAATCTTTCAATGGTGACACATATTGTGCTGCTAAATGTCTAAGAGTAATTTCCCTCACTTTAGTGATTTTTTTATTTATTTTTCACTTACTGTTGTGTCCATGTGACAGGAAGTAAAGGGAAATTCCCGTATGGGACATGGTTTGCAAAAAGGAACTGGCAGTGGTTTTAACCTCTCCTTGCCTTATGTAACAATATTTAAAAAAAAAAAAAAAACTTTTGGCTTTCGATAAAGTTTAACAGTTAAAAATTCTGAAATGCAAAACTTAATCACTTTTATGTTTTTGTGTTTCCAGATGTATTTCGCCTCTAAAGTTCTGCTCAGACTTCCGTCCATATTTCACTATCCATGACAGTGAATTCAAAGAATATACAACAAGGACACAAGCTCCGTGAGTAAAAATTGGCATAGGGCAGATTAGGGATAATTAAGTGTTGGAGAAATATAAGGAAGTAGTGGATGATTCAACCCAAATAGAAATATGAACTTGGGGTTGGAATAGTTTCTAAGAAATTCCTATATCTTATATGATAAGTAGTGTTTGTGTACATTTTGTTTTTAAGCAGAATTATTGGCAAGTAGCTAAATACTCAGTTTCCATTTCCGAACTGTTATACCTACCAAAAGGTTTGCAATTTGGTTCAGCTATACTTTTATAGTCAATTATCCCTGCTACCCAGCATAAACAGATATCTGACCCATTGTTTGTAAGCAGACATTTAAAGGAGAACTCCAGGATTTTTAAAAGTTAACCCTTGCAGTGGGGCTACCCCTGCACTGCAAGGGTTAACTGCTTGTTTTTCTCTAGGGGTAATAATAAAGAAGCTCTTCTTTATTATTACCCCTAGAGAAAAACAAGCCTCCTGCGGCCTGCGGCAGTGACCGCTCACCTCTCTCCCCTTGGCATCTTCATGCCTAATACACTGTATTAAACGTGATGATCCTTAGACCGCCGGAGCCCGGGGGGAGATGAGGCTGCAGAGACCAGTCTAGCAGCCAGGCGGGACTGAGAAATGGGCGAGTATATCTTCGTTTATTTTCCATAAACAAAATAAGCAGTTAACCTCTGCAGTGCAGGGGTAGCCCCACTGCAAGGGTTAACTTTTTGAATTCCTGGAGTTCTGCTTTAATTTTTATTGAATACATACTTTTATTACCTGTGCATGCCTTTTTGTATCTTTTCGGTTTGCATGAATACTGAACACTAACACCAGCAAAGCATTTTGGTACTACTTTTTGTCCAGTGAAAAAAAAATGTGCCGGCATGTTTTACTACTTGTTTTCATGTCTTTTTTTTGTTTTTTAGACCTAGTCTACTCCTGGGAGTCACCAATCCTTTCTTCATAAAAACTCTGCAGCACTGGCCACACATTCTACGAGTAGGGGAACCCCGAGTATCTGGTAAGCCTAGATTCTGTTTGTTAGTTTGACCACAGTTGTTGCTTTTACAAAATGAAACCTATCGGTCAGTTTGGATGTGGATCAGCAGACCGTGTACTACTTTTGTATCTGCAGGAGATCTGCCAAAGCAAGTAAAACTGAAGAAGTTAACAAAGCTGAAGACACTGGATACTAAAACTGGTGAGACTGTTGGTACTCATGGAAACAAAAGGGCAGACTCGATGGACCACTAGGTCTTTTTTCTACAGTCAGTTCTCTGTTTCTGTGTACATCTTCACTGAAAACTCAGTGTTGGATGAAAGCTACAGTATGTCAGGGGGATGACACATTGCCAGCAACAGAATCATCCAGGTAAAGGAACCGCTTTTCCTAATGGAGTTACTCCCTTTAATGCCCAGAACAATTCAGAATGTGTTCACTAGTGAAGAAACAGCAAGGGAATAGCTAGAAGCTAGAAAGGGAGCAACTCCATAGGAAAGGGTACGTGGCCTATTAGTGATCCTGCTGTTGCCATCAGACTTAAAGTGACACTAAACTCCGCAGTGAAATCTCAAAAATGCATTTTTAAGATTTATTAGAAGCATGCATTTTGAGAGATATGTTGCCTGTCTTTGCTGCCTCATTCTGAAAATGCTAGTTGTCTGACTTCAGTACTCAGTGATCTAGTTAAAGTATGCTTTCAGTTAATTCAGAAACTCCTGATTATATATCCTGAATATGTGTTCCAGGTCATTGGCCCAGGAGGTAATGTGAGCACTGAATCAGCACGATAAACAGGCAACCCCTATATTTCTTTTAGCATGTTTCCTTTAATAAAAACAACCAACTGCAAAATACAGGAATCATTTTCAGGAAAGAAAAAGGATAGTGTATGAAAACAACATGTCCATCCACAATCTGCCATCACCTCTGAATTATGGTCTACATAGCGAGTCAGAGAAATGCATTGTTGTTCCTTATGCTTTTTTACATCTTATGTTTATTCTAGGAATGTATACTTCCTACAAGCCATTTCTTCACAAAGACAAGACACTGATCAAACAGTTGCTAAAGGTAATAGTGTGTCTAACAGAAATCGTGAATATTCTATATATTGATAGGTAGTGATACGTTTACATCCTTTACATTTAGTGATATATTTACAGCCTTGGAAAGTGCTACATATATATATATTAATTATTCAACAAGACACTCATTGTTTTAATCTCCATTTACAATTCCGTTGGTTTATATATTACTGTCGCACTACTTAGTTAAGGCAGGTAATACCACTGTCACACCATGTCCTCCTGGTTTTAGGCTGGGTTCACACCATTTTCCAGACCAGATCTGGAACGCAGTGTATTGAATTTTTACCGTGATTTTGCAGTGTTTGGAAGTTTTTTTTACATTTTTTTGCTTAAAATGGTCTTGCAGGTGCTTTCCAGTGTGTTTGTATGCGTTTTTGATACGTTTTTATGCGTTCCAATGCATTCCAGACCAGCAGTATTTTTCTGGTCTGGAACAGACTGCGCTGGTGTGAACAGAGGCATAGGGATACATTTCTGTGAACAGAAATAGCATAGGTATACATTAGGATGCATTTTGGGTCCTTCGACAATCTGGTCTGGTCTGGAGATGATCCGGACATGGTGTGAATGGGCCCTTAGCTTTGCTGCTTCCTATGTTTTCTGCTGGCTTCTTGGACAGTAGATTGGCATCATTGTACTGGAAGTGACAGAACCATGGTTGGGTTGACACAGGTGATTTTAATCTCTTGCTATTGAGAGATTAAAATATTTAAGAAAATAAAACTATACAAGCCAACTGTAATACCCCATAAAGCATTTTACTATCATTGCATTTATTTAAAAAAGTTATAAACCTTTTTTTAAATATTTATGTCACTCACATGACCACACAGTCTCCATTCGTCCATGTTCCTAGCTCTAGCAGGGGGCATGTATGTCTAGTTTAATGTAAAGCTTTCCATACATTGTAATATTTTCTTTGTTCAAACTACAGGCTGAACAAATAAAATATTTCAGATTCCTCCATCAATTCTTACAAGCGTTGATCAAGGAAACCCCCACTGTCTTCCCTGTCTTTGCTGTCTCCTGGCGGAACAGAGCGAGCAGTTGATTGGCTGCCCTCTTTGTTTGTTTGAAGATTTTCTGACTGGCTCCTTCGATCAGCTGATCGAGGGATGCCACCCAAAAGGGTGCTAACAGCGCCAACCATTGTGCAAATTTCGTCCAGTTCATCAAGAACTGGCCAAAATTCGCATAGTGTACGGCCAGCTTGACTCTAATCAGGAAGACCTGCTGTTAGTGAGGTGTGCTGCCCACCCACTTGCTAGGCTGCTTCACCCTCAGCCCTGCTGTGTTGATTTGAAAGTGGCTCCCAGCAGGAGCACCTGTCAATCAACACAGTAGATCTGGGTAGGTGGGGTGGCAGCCAAAATGACTACTGAAGGTACACAGCGGCATCTGTAACTCCAAGCAGGAAGGAGGAGCCGCTATTAGAGACGCGTGCGCTACCCGCCTTCTTCTCCATAGAAGGGTGCATGTATGCGTAGTAAGTCGATGGGTGGTGCACACATCAATAAAAGCAACTCCTCCCTTCTTCTTGGAGTTACAGGATGCCGCCATGTTTCTCTTGTAGTTAATTTGGTTGTCTCTCCCCCCTACCCAGCCCTGCTGTGTTGACTGACAGCGGCTCCCAGCAGGAATAATAAATAAATGAAGTAAATAAGCTACTAAAATTGCCTATATCATCCTAACCTTGACTTTGTTACTTTCAGTGGAACAATGCCAATTTACTGTCCAGTAAGCAAGCAGGTAACATAGGAAAATGGAAAGCTCAACTAGGACATAGTGGTGGGGGACCAAAATAATAAAGAAAAACCAAAAACTACAATTGTCCTTGTTAACCATCTCTTCACCAGCAACACATTGATTTCAGTGTATGTTGGTAAGTAAGAGATTAAAAGCAGCCATGTCGCTCTATCCAAAACAGAAATTAGTGTGGCAGGTAAAACAGATTACATATAGGCACCTGTGTGGCTTACAATAGGGAGTCATTTGTTACATCTGTTTAGAGATTGTTTGATACTCCTTGCAATGAATCACTCGTGATTTTAGTAGCACATATTGCGTGTAGCTGTAGCCTAATTAGATGACTGCCAGGAAGTGAACTGATCTCTTTGTAGCAAGGAATTAAACCCCCCTGTGTAACGTAGCCTTATTGTTGCGCATCTTAGTCAATTCTTTGAAATATGTGTTTAGTTGAGGTGCAGATCAATACACGCCATTCAGTGGCTTTTGCTTGGTTAATAAATAAATGCAATAAAACTAAAGACAACAAATATAATACAACTTTCCCCCTAACATCTTCCAGGACAGCATCTTGAGATATGGAGGCTCCTCCTGATCCCACAGGAAACACGCCACCCGTAACCTTTTAAAAGGCCCGCCTTCTAACCAGAACATCAGCAGTCTTTGTGTTTCCTCAGGCAACCTGAGGATGCACATCACGGAACGCGGGGAGCCTCCATATGGCAGATGCCAGGGGGGTTCTCTTTGTAGTAGGTAGCAAGCTTACCTTGGGCCTCCAGCTAGTCCCTCTAACAAGGCAGGGGGTATGCTGGCTCTTTTTTCCCCGTCAGTGCCCGGCGAGGGCCTGGACCGGAGTGGCGCTGCTCCTTGGCTGAGTTTGCGGGGAGAGGATGTCCGCCGGTCAGAGGGGCTCGTCTTGGCTCCGCGGCCCCGGGAGAATTCTCCACGGCCGGACCAGGTGGCCACGTACGTCACTTCCGGGGGCCAGGCCTCTGTGTTCCAAGCCTCGTTTTCGGCGCAGGGGAAGGGGAGGGCCTTTGATGGTGTTAAAGTGTTTCATTCTCAGTAGTGACTGAGACAGCACTGGCGGTTTTATTTTGAAACTCTGCAAGGATGGAATCTACTGTGGCCTCTACAGCAGCAGATGCAGTTCCTTCAGGCACCAGCCGGGCACAGGTATGGGTGATTATTTGACATTCACCACCCTGGTTCCTCTGACTGTTTTCCTATCTCCACCTGGGGTTCCTTGGGCAGGACCTTTTTTGTGTTGAGGGGCACTTCTATTTTGCTGATATTGGGATTGGAGCTTAGCCCTTCTTGTTTATGTTTTTCAGGCTAGGACTTCAGATAAGGCCAAGGTGGCAATTAAAAAGAAATGTGCAGTTTGCGGTTGCAAGCTGGGTTCTACCAAGCAAAGGCCTTATGTTGGAAGTGTATTGACGACCTCTTTAAGGAAGAGGCTTCGTCAGCCTGTGGTAATATTTTAACAACAGTTAAAGAGGAGTTAGCTTCTACCTTCCAATCCTTCAGATCAGTTTTAGAAGGCTTTAAACCTAACCCCGGGGCAAGGCCAGCACCTGCTGCAACAGGGCCTGGCCAGGCACATCCCAGATCAGTAGGGTTATCTGAAGAGGAGCTCAGTGAAGCTGGCCCGTCTCATGGTTATTCTTCTGAAGATTTAGGCGCCCAAGAGGAAGTTTCTCCTACCTCCAAATATAAATTGTCCTTGGAGGATGTAGATGATTTGCTCGCTGCTATTTATAGTACTCCGGAGATCCATGAGGAGCAGGTGCTTCCTTCTCGCCATGATCTCATGTATCAGAGTCTGCAACAGAAAAAGTTTAAAGTATTTCCTGTGCATAAGGTCCTCTCAGACGCAATAGTCAGGAAATGGGCGGATCCTGAGAAAAAGCCTCTCCGGTCCGCTAATCTCAAGCGGAGGTTCCCGTTTGACGATGACCCGGCTTTGGTGTGGAACAAGACACCCAAGCTGGACGCTCCATTGGCAAAAGTTTCCAAGAGGTCTGATTTGGCCTTTGAGGATATGGGTGTTCTCAAAGAGCCAATGGACAAGAAAATGGAGGTCCTGCTTAAAAGAGCCTGGGACTCTATCCTTTTGAACTTAAAACCGGCCCTGGCAACGACTTGCGTGGCTAGAAATTTGGACTTTTGGCTTTCGCAATGAAAGACCCACTTACTATCAGGTACCCCTAGGGAACGGTTACTGGAATCTTTTCCAATTCTGTTTAAAGCGGTGGGTTTCATTGCAGATGCCTCAGCTGAGTCAGTCAATATGACCGCCAGGTCATCGGCACTAGTTAATTCTTCTGGCAGGGCTCTTTGGCTCAAGGCCTGGCAGGGGGATACAGCTTCCAAGCTTAGATTGTGTAACATCCCCTTTTCAGGTGATTTGTTGTTTGGAGCAGAATTGGAAACAATTCTGGAAAGAACAGCTGATAAAAAGAAATGCTTCCCTGAGAAGAAGAAGAAGCCTTTTCCGAGGTTTGGTCGGAGAACGGGTCCTGGCCCTAAGGGAGGGAAGGAAGATGTTCCCGAAAAACATTGGACAGGCCATAAGTGCAGGAGCAGAGGCAGAGGAGGGATTCTCTTTAACCTGCCCGCTCCTGCGTCCAAGCCACAGTGACTGTCCGCTTCCAGTGGAAGGCAGACTAAGGGACTTCCTCCATCACTGGTCAGAGATCACATCCAATCAGTTTATTTTAAGTCTGCTCAGGGACGGTTACAAGTTGGAGTTCAGCGATGTACCCCCAAAGCGGTTTTTGGTCACAAGTCTTCCACGGCAAAGGGACAAAGCAGAAGCTCTTTGTTTCCTGCGGGGGGATTTGGTGGACCAGAAGGTTATCAATCGGGTCCCTGTGTTAGAAGAAGGAAAGGGATTTTATGCTCATGTATTTCTGGTAAAAAAGCCTTCAGGCAAGTTTCGTTTGATTCTCAATCTGAAACCAATAAATGGGGTGATTGTATACAAGAGGTTCAGAATGGAGTCGATATTCTCCATCAAAAACCTCTTGCACCCCAGGGCCTACATGGCTACTCTAGACTTAAGGGATGCATACCTCCATATTCCGGTTCATACAGCATTTCGGCAGTTTCTCAGGCTGGCAGTGAGAATTGGCCCCAAGATTCATCATTACCAGTTCCAGGCTCTCCCGTTCGGTCTATCCTCGGCTCCTCGTATTTTCATGAAGGTGTTGGGAGAAGCTCTGTTGCCCCTGAGACTTCGGGGAATCCGTATAATTCCCTATCTAGACGACATATTGTTGTCAGCGGCCTCAGCCAGCAGGTTGGAGAGCGACCTAGCTGTAACGCAGGCTTGGCTGCAAGATCTGGGTTGGATACTGAATTTTCCGAAGTCCAATCTAATCCCTTCCCAGGAAATCCAGTACCTTGGTTACGTTCTCAATACAGTGAGACAAAGCACATACCTTCCCAGGGAAAAGATTCTGAAGGTGATGGCTGCAGTCAGTCGGCTGCAGGGAAATCCGGTCGATCACGTTAAAGGAGAACTATGGTGTTAAGGCTTTTCCCCATAGTTCTCCTTAGGGTAACGGGAGGACACAAACTAGCGTCCTCCCGTCACCCTAGGCTCAGTATACCGCAAGCTGTAGCTCGCGGTATACTGAGACGCCGCAGTATACCGCGAGCTACTGCTCGCGGTATACTGAGACGCCGCAGCTGAAGCGGATCCTGACAATTGTGCCGGGATCCGCCCAGCTGCATGACTGACAGCTGGCTCTGCCTATCTAGACGCAGAGCCAGCTGTACCCGCCCCCTCCCCCATCTGTTCCGCCAGTCAGCGCTGGAGGATCGGAGAGGGGAGGGGCGAATCCAGCCCCTCCCCTGTCACGGCAGAGAGCTGTGACAGGATCGAGAGGTGAGCGAACTCCGGTATGTGTTCGCTCACCTCCCGATCTACTGAGCCGACCTGTGACAGTCTCATCTTCAGTCTGGTCTGGAGTGGAGGCCTCTCGCCTCAGTGAAGCTCACAACGGATGCGAGTTCCTGGGGGTGGGGGGCACATTTAGAGTCCCAGATGGCTCAGGGGCGCTGGTCTCGAGAGGAAGCCAGAATGTCCTCCAATTGGAGAGAATTGAAGGCTATCGCAAACGCTATCTTGAGTTTCCAGGACAGATTGAGGGGTCATCATCTGTTAGTGTTTTCAGACAAAATTACGGCAGGGGGGCACAAGGAGTCCTGCTCTGCAAAACCTTGCCAGAGGCATTTTTCGGTGGGCGGAGGGGAATCTGGCTTCGGTGGCAGCGTTTCACCTGAGAGGCACCCACAATTTCCTAGCGGATTATCTCAGTCGTCACCAGATAATGCAGGACGACTGGAGTCTGAACCAAGGTGGATCAATTATTTTCCCTGCATCCCGGAGATGCCGCCCTGGCAGTGGATGCACTGTTGAATCCCTGGGACTTCCCACTATGTTATGCGTTTCCCCTAATACATCTGATACCAAGGGTCCTTCAGAAGTTTATGCTGGAGGGGACAAAGCTCATTCTGATTGCGCCCTATTGGCCGAGAAGAGCTTGGTTCACTCTGTTGCTTTCCCTCACGGATCGGCCGCATTGGACTCTTCCTGTCAGATCAGACTTGATCTCGCAGGGACCAGTCTTGCATCCGGAGGTGAACAGATTCAGACTCATGGCCTTCTTTCTGAGGAGGACATTTTGAGGGGACAGGGATTTTCAGTTGAGGTGATCGATACTCCCTACATAGCCGTAAGCTTGTAGCTAGGAATATATATGGCAAAGTATGGAAGACATTTAACGCTTGGAGATGTAGGTCCAATAGGGACTCAGGGATTCCAGCCGTCCTGGATTTCCTTCAGGCGGGTGCTGATAAGGGCTTAGCTATCAGTACTTTAAAGGTGCAGGTGTCAGCACTTAGTGTGTTTAATGCAGATGTCCCTGGCTGAGAATGTGTTTTGTTTCCAGGTTTTTCAAAGCCCTCAGGAGAATCCGACCACTTCCTGTTAGGACAATGCCTCAATGGGATTTATCCACGGTCCTGCAGGCGCTAACTGTGTTCCCCTTTGAGCCTTTGGTTGAGGCGTCCCTGCGGGATATCACCTTGAAAACGTTTTTTCTCATTGCTATTACCTCAGCCTGTAGGATTTCCGAGCTTCAGGCCCTGTCAGTAAGGGAGCCCTTTTTGTTGGTTTTCGAGGATTGGATTGTCCTAAGGACCGATCCAGCCTTTTTACCGAAGGTATCTTCTACCTTCCACAGGTCGCAGAAAATTGTCCTGCCTACCTTCTGTCCGAAGCCTGCAAATGCAAGGGAATCAGCCTTCTGCTGTTTGGACGTAAGACGATGTCTCCTACATTACCTTCAAGTTTCAAAGCCATTCAGGAGGTCAGATGCCTTGTTTGTTTTATATTCAGGTAGATCACAGGGTAAGCAGGCCTCGTTAGATAGGTGGCTGAAGCAGGCCATTATAGAGGCATATCAGGGTCAGAACCTTCCTCCTCCTGGCCTTGTTAATGCACATTCGACTAGAGCCTTTGCAGCCTCCTGGGCCGAAAGGGCTGGGGCTTCACCAGAACAGATTTGCAAGGCTGCCAAATGGTCTAGTTTTTCAACATTCGTACAACATTATCGGGGACCTCAATTCAAAGCCAGGGATCAGGCTTTCGGGCGCAAAGTGCTGCAAGCTGTGGTTATCTCAAAATGCTGTCCTGGAAGACGTTAGGGGGAAATCTAGAGTTAGGACTTACCGGTAACTCTATTTCCAATAGTCTTCAAGGACAGCAGCTGCCCACCCATGAATGCTTGCTGTATTGATGTTTTTCCGGGGGTGTTGCTTGTTTCTGCTTTTTTCCAGTTTGCCTTCGGTTCTCATGATGACTGATGTGCTGGTTAGAAGGTGGGCCTTTAAGGGCGACGTGTTTCCTGTGGGATCGGGAGGAGCCTCCTTTTGTATATTTGCATGGTGTTTTCTAATGATATGAGCATAAGAGTTTACATTGTCTGATGCCTCTTTTCTAGGGTCTTCAGAAGAGGCTCCCATCTTCCACGTTGAGTTTATTGCTTCGGAAACATCTGTTTGAACTAACACAAAGCTTTATGCTTCCATTGGTGAGGCACTCCGCTTTTGTTTGATGCTCTATTTTTTAGTCTTCATTTTTCCATTTTTCGATGTGCTTACTTTCTTTTAGGAGCGGTACATTGGCAGTCTAATGCCACATCACAGTTCCATTACACCTTGGAAGGTAAGATGTTTTAATACACCTATCATTCTTTTATACATATTCACAAGACTATCATGTCAGCTAGAGTAAAATGAGTTACAATTATATGTTTCTTAAAAGTAAAAAATACATTTAAATATTAGTATTAAGCTCAGTCTAAAGACCTGGGCCACCTGTTCATGTGCTCTCTAATGAAGAGGAGGATCAGATTTAACATTGGCATATTCGTCCTTTCAGAAGAGATCTCATGACAAAAGGTCTAGTCCTACAGACATCTGTCAGGCACTGAAGAGAATTTGGGGCAGCATTTTCTCCAGAAAAGATACATATTACAGCTGTTCTATTAGCCTTTATATATCCACCCCAAGAAGTCTTAACATTTGAGTTCCAGGTCCTCCTAGAAATGTTTTCCTAACAACTTTTGTACATGTTTTAGTCATTATATACATTGTATATTTGAATTATTTTACAAATGAAAATGCTAGTTCCCTAGCTGTTGTGCTGGATGCTTTTGCTGCAGTTGTCTGAATCACTGCACCACAACAAGTACAGAGATCAGTAGTCTGTCTGCATGTTTATTCTGGGTTAGTGACTCAAGGTGACAGTCAAACAACTAGCATTTGCAGAACAAGATGTCGGCTATGACTTCAAACTTTTTCTCAGGAAATGTTTCCTTTAATGTAACCTTTTAAAAATGAAATATAGCTGACAATATTTTTGGTTGTTATTTTAGCATACAGTACTGTATATTCTTGTGTTTCTAAGCTCAGAGGCATTATCAATTAACAATAGTGCATCTCCATGTACAGAATCCACCTCAGGTGAGACCATTCCAGCAAGAGGAGCTCATGAAGATGCTGGAACACACAGGACCTCAGTTCAGCTCTACAATAAAAGGGGACTGGATGGGGTTATACAGGTAAATGAGCTGTACATTTTCTTTTTTTTTCTAAGCACAATCCAGACGTACAGCTAAATACGCATACGAAACATATATAAGGGAGCTGTTTTACCTGCCAGAGGATTTTTATTTCTATCTATCCAGTCCTGGGGACCTGGCACACAGCACAGCCTGTAGGGCTGTTACTGTTAATGAATACAGTGGTGTCATCTCCCCACCCACAGTCTGCTGACTGGACAGTGAAAGAGCAGCAAAAGACTGATATGACTTAAAAATGTAGCGTTCTGTAGTTTTATAGGAAATTTGCATCAGCTAGGATGGTACGTTTGGCATACATAATTATTAGGGATGTACCGATACTAGTATCTATATCGGTGCCGATACCGAGTATATGGGCGAGTACTCGTAATCGCCCAAATGCTCCGATGCCTAGCACGAGTACTTCCTGTATCAGGAAGCCGGGCAGCGCGTCATTACACGCTGCCCGGTTTCCTGATTGGCCGGGAAGCGGCTCCATGCTCTCTCGTCACTTCCCAGCCAATCAGGAATCCGGGCAGCGTGTAATGACGTGCTGCCTGGCTTCCCGATTGGTCGGGAAGCTGGCCAATCAGGAAGCCGGGCGCCGTGTAATGATGCAGCATTCTGATTGGCCGGGAAGCCATCTCCATGCTCCCTCGTCATTTCATGACGAGGGAACATGGAGTCAGCCTCTCAGCCAATCAGAAAGCAGGGCGCCGCGTCATTACACGGCGCCCGGCTTCCATGCTTGGCCAGCAAGACGGCTCTGGCCATTCCTGGGGTTCTAAAGCCTCCGTTTTTTTTGGCCTATTTCTACGGCTATTAAGCCGTAGATATAGGCAAAAAGATTTTTTTTTAAAAACGCTTTAACAGCGGTTTAAACTTACCTTGCTTTCGCTGCGCGCTCCCGTCCGAGAAAACAAAACTGCTCCGGCGGCCGCAAAGCATCTTGGGGCGGGCGCATGCGCAGTTCGGATTCTCGGCAGGGAGACGAGCAGAGACGCAATGTAAGTCTATGGATGCGTGCACCCGCATGCAGACAGCGCTGGATTGGAAGTGCCTGTAAGCAGAGAGGAGTGAGCGCTGGATCGGAGAGCTGCCGCAGCCCTGGAGGGACAGATAAAAACATCAGGAAAGAAGAAGATCGGAATAAGAGACATAATTTAAGGTAAGTGCTAACACTAACATTGGGGGGAGGGAAACAAAAATATCCTTTTAATGTCACTTTAACTCCTGAGTTTAGTGTCACTTTAAGGTAACCAGATTAGGGAACCTATTAGGGGGGTTTCAAAGCTTACACATTCCAAAACATTTCAGCAGGTTTTGAGGTGGTTTGTTTTTAAAGCTGAATTCTGTGGCAAGCAAATATTGTCTTTAATATAAATGGCATATGCTTTCTTACTTGAACCTTGGTGTGCTTTGTGTATTTCTTCCTTATCTGTGCATTAATTCAGCAGGAAATGTTACCTCTGTGCAGGAGCATCATGTACTAAAGACCAGTCACTGCTGCTCTCTCTCTTTGTGTAGGGTGACTGATCTTGCATCCTCCCCCTCTGCAACTATCTGGAGGCAACCTGTAGTAGGTGGGCCTGCTGGGTCACTTCCACGGCTCTGTCTGCACCACTTATATACACCACATTGATGATGTCAGTGCTACATTCATATGGTAATATCTAGGTTTACAAAGGTGTTTGGTGCACACAAGGTAGATTCATATCCCATGTGGCTATTGGGGAATATATTTAAATTAAGTTTTTGTGCCAAGACTTCAGCTTTAACAGTTGGTCACATGCATATTACCCGTCATGTAGACTCAGGGATTCCATGCACATTTGTTGGTAAAATACACTCTGCATTGGATATCACTCCTGGTAAATGTGCAATGTACAGTAAAGTCCTATTTAGATTAATCAGCAGTGAATGTTTTTTATATACCAAAAGAATAATTTTCCAGAAGCTTTCTACATCAAAATAATGAAGAATCTTAATATTTATAAACCAAAAAGCTGAAGGTTCCTTTTTTTTTTCTGTAGGCGTTTCTTGAAGTCTCCACATTTTGATGGGTGGTATCGTCACAAACAACGTGAGATGAGAGAGAAGCTAGAAACCGCACATCTCAATGTCATTTGTGAAGCAGTAAGTGTCACAGAGCACTTTGGTAATGTATAGGCAAGATAAAGCCTCTTGTATTTCTGTTATTTAAGTACAAATACACATTTCAGGGAAGAAAAATCTCAATCACGAACTCTTGTTTTCCTAAAGAGCATAAGAAAAGAATGAAAAAATCACGAGTGCCCATGTGGACAGTTTTTAATACACACTGTGTTCAATTATTTCACAATTTATAGGGAAACTAATGGGTTTTGGTCATTGTAATTTTTGATTAGGTTTAAACTGATGTTTTATATCTGTTTTTGTTTTGCAATTAGCATTGCATGTTAAATAAAGGATTCTTGAAGCTCTGTGAGTTAGCTAAGAGGACAGGACATTTTCTGCCCTGACATTCACGTGTGTGTGTGTGTGTGTGTGTGTGTAAATTTCAGCTTGACCAGTTGAGTCTAGTAAACAGACATTTTACATCCATGAAACAAAAGAGTTCCTGGAAAATGAGCCCAAATTGTCACATGCTGGCTAAAGGAGTATACAAAATTGTAATAAACAGACTTTTTTATATACCTGGCTAAAAATATTGATATTTCTCCATCGTCCGTTGAGGTAGCACAGCACTGAAGAATTATCAGATATAGGGTTATGTCGCTGCCTCCAGGAGAAATGGATATTATCCAAAAAAATTAAAAGCTTGCCAATTTAAGGACATAACCCCTCCCACCTCACACCTTCCAGTTGTAGCAAGCAGTATGAAAGGAAATGAGGGGAGGGAGCTGTGTCCCTCAATGTACTCCGAGAAAAGGATTTTACAGTAAGAACAAAATCCTTTTTTCTCTATCGTCTATTGAGGGACACCTCTCTGAGGAATTCTGAGACGTAGGGATGTTCAAAAGCAGTCCATAACAGAGGAGTGGGCACCATAAAAACTAGAAGAACCACTTAAAATACTCAAACAACCACCTAAAGAACGTTTCTGCCAAAACTAGCATCAGAAGAGGCAGAAACATCAACTTTATAAAACTTCGTCTGAACAGAAGACCAAGGTGCGGCCTTGCAATTTGAGTAACAGAAGCTTCATCCTTCAATAGACTCTAAAGTTTTTATGGTAAGAACAAAATCCTAATGAAAATACATTAAGGTGGGTGTGATACCCTCTTGAAGGCTGTGGTACCACGCACCCAAATAATTGGTCGGAAATATACAAAGAAGCAGATGGGGCTTTTTAGGTACCAAATAAGCAATTATCCAAAAATATTAAAACCATTATACACTAGGAGCATACTATCAGACAGCGGTCAACAGTGCCCATTACATGAATTTTGTGGGCATCTGGCGTTGGACCCCTTCATTCGGTCTCCACAAAAGTGAAGTATTGTATGCTTTTTTCCTGGCAATCCTGTCGCTCTGCGTGATTTTCACTACAGAACTCCTCCTGAGAAACCTTAGGCGAAACTTGTCGAATTTGAAACTAGCATCACAAACTTACCTTTGGAAATTGAATGTACTAATTGGTTTGGATCACATAATGTGATATGGAACAAATATCAGTATTTGTACTGTACACATGATACTGTAAAACAATTGGGTGGTTTCAAGGAGGCTATGTTATGAATCTATGCAGAGATCAGGTTTTAGTCATGTTTAATAAATTGTATTTAATCATGTTTAATAAATTATGTTTTATTTAAAGCAATAAAGTTTATATTTCTAAAAAATATATATTTTTGAATGATAACCTCTGTTTGGTAACTTAATAGCCCCATCTGCTTTTTTGTATATTTTCTACCAAGAACAAAATCCTATTTTTATAAATGATTTCTTTCTCGTTCATTGAGGGACATAGGGATGTATTAATTCTTAGCCTGTGTTCACACCTGAGCTACATGAAATATATGCATTTTCAGCGTGTTTTTGTGTAGCGCGTCTTTGTGTGCAGAACTTGGCACATCGATGTGAATGGGCAAACACGTGTCTAACGCGTGTAAAAATGTGCAAAAATGCAGCAGATGCACGTTTTGAGCATTTCCATTGAAGGCTATGGGGCCAAGAAGGGCAGAATGTGTCAAAAAGAAGCTCATGTACTTTCTTCAAGCAACAGGTGTTTTGCTTCAAGTGACAAAATGCTCAGATGTGAGCATGTCCATAGACATGAATGGGGTTTTTTTTTGGGGGGGGGTTGAGCCTTTTTTTTTTTAAACAGGAAAATCGGTACAAAACGCTCAGTGTGAATGAAGGCTTAGACAGGAGGATTTGGACACTGGCAAACCAAAAACAATGAACAGCCTAGTATAATCACTCCCATCGTTCCTCCTGTTTTTTAGTAGTGTCCTAGGAGGATGGAAGTCTTTTCTCTACTGAGAAAAGTTGAAATATTCTTTACCAGCTGTTTTTTTTTTAAATCAAGACTTAATCTACACATTGCTTGAGCTGGTCTCTTAATGCACCTGCCTAGATTGGCATGTCTTTAGCAAAATTTTTGGAGGCCATACCCAGATCCTGCTGGACCAGTTGTTATTACTGAAGCCTGCCTAGAATGTGACCTTTGGGCCTTGGGCTCTTGTTTGTTTGTCACAGAGTGCCTTCCAGGTCCAGAGCCGTGGCACAGCCTCTGGTGTGACAAAGCCCCTGAAGACTCATTAATGAGTAGATAATGTGGGATGAGAACAGGGTGCTACTTTGTTTATTAGAACGTTGGGCGCCATTATTACACCCCTTTTTTTTTTCCTGTTGGTTTCCAAGGAAATTGTTAGGATGCTGAGGAATTGAGTGCTGTATCACTAGGGGTTCTCCGCCTCGGTGTTAACCCAGGAGGATTTCCCCACAATAATGCAAATTTGTTGGGTGAAATTGCAGGTTTAATTGCCGACTCATGAACAAGAACAAAAGTCGGTCGCAAGCACTACCCTGTGCGCTGACCAAAGAAGTTACTTCAGACCATATATGGAAAAAGATGTAAATACTTTTATTGAAAATATATATAAACTATGCATAGAAAAATATTGCACCATCTCCCAATACCACTTTTAAAATTGACAACGTTGTCATTTCATTCATGTGCAAAACATTCACTCCTGAGGGGTTAACCTTGTTTCCACCACCTGGGGTATGTGCAGTATCTCTAAGAATGAATCTGCCCATCAAACATATGGAAAACAGTTCACTTCCATGTGTGTATCTCTACATCACAACTCCACAGGCTCATAGCCAATCTCTCGTAGATGTTGTATGCACACAGGGATCGTATGAACTGATTTGTGAACTGCCTGTGTTCAATTTCCAAACAAGTCCCTAGGACAGTCACTATATCCCGGTTTCCAATTAATCAACTATAATTGGTCATACGAATAGTTCAGAAGAGATCTCTTTATCTTTCCTTATTCCTTTGATATCGTTGTATGTTCAACACATCTATAAAGTGCGGATAGATCCTGAATAAGAAAAAGGCCACTGAGTGATTGATCGGTGTTAATACACCATCATTTTATGTGCAAAATAGATTTGATTTGTCCAGTCTGCTCATAGGCAGGATATCCAACAGTATATTCAAACTTATGTCCTGGATCCTCGGTTTCTATTCAAAGGATTACGTATGTAACTTAAGTATATAACTTACGATCACCCGGGATTGATTATCGAGGAGCCGGCTCACAAGTGTTGTACTTAGAAACACAAAGTATCCGACTTCGGCTTTCACGGGAACAAGTTTCCTTTTAAATGAAACAATGTGGTTCAAGTGGTATTTAGCGGGTACTGACCGGGTTTTCCCCTTCGTATGAAAAGTCCAGTTGTTGGGGAGTTTTTAGTCCATCATTTTGTAATCTAAGGGGGCATGATGATATAGCTGCATGCTCCCCAGTGGTTCAAGGTAACCCGAACAGACACTGAACCGTCGACGTGTTTCGCCCCTCCTCCTGGAGCTTCGTCAGGACGTTAATTGCTGACTCAGACCACCTTATTTGGTCTGCTTGCAGGCTTAATGCCCTCTGAGCCGTTGGATGATCTGATAAAGAGTCTTAAAAATGTAAGAAGCCTGTAGCTTCTACTAGTTCTGCTACCAGCCTAGGATTCCTGAGAGGCCCTAAGATTTTCTAATACTTTTCACCTGCACATGCCATTTCCAAACATTCTGTACACTGTCTGGAAAAATTGTTCATGCCTCCTAAATATTTTGTGGCCTAATATCTGTTAAGGCCTTAGGAAGCCTTTGTTAAGTGGACTGTTCCTGCAATTCATCTGGCAGTGTCCCATCTTAATAAGCTTTGTAGAGGATGCGCCAGTATTTAAGGATCCCAAAGAGGACACTTTCCAAAACCTTGTTTTCCCTGGCAGGTTCATAGTCTATCACGGAAGCAAACTTGGAGTGGTGGCTACTTTACAACACACACAGGTACCATGGGGAACAAAGTAGCCACCATCCAGAAGGAAGGACAGTGTCAGCACCAATTCAGAGATGATTTGAGGATCTACAGCCAAGTGATACACAAATAATATACATTTTTGTTACTAGTTAAGGTACTTGAATGCATTTTTAAGACTTAACTCCTGAGTTTAGTGTCACTTTAAGGATGGGAATAACTGTTTAATTGGAATGAAGGTAGTCTTGTCAAGCCAAATAATCAAATTTAGTAGGTTTATTCAACTATGTACCCGATATTTGATGCTCTTCTACACCCATAAATGTATCAATTAAAGAGAATAGCTTTGCTAAGGAGACCCAGTCCTCTTTCTGATGCACAGAGGAAGGGGCCCACAGTTTAGTAAGCTTCCCTTTCCTATAAACAACAGCTCTCTGGTTTCCTGGTTCTCATTATTAGATAAGAATGAATCCTCAGCGTGTCTTTATTTGCAGGTAAGTTGGCAAAGCTGTATCATGATTTAATAAGGTGAGACAATCTCAGAAATAATCTGACAATCTATAAAAAATTGCAATTTAGCTTTAAATACAGTAAACTGTCAGTTATCTGGTATTTAACTAGCCAGAACTCTCATCTAACCAGAAAAAAAAAATTCTTGTGTACTCACTGTTTTGCTGATCTGCAGCACATATTATCCTGGAAATGATCATGTGTCTATTAGTCTTAATTTGCTTTTGATTACTGCATTTCAATATTAATATGACATCAATACAGAGTTTATGGTATGGTATAGTATGGGGTATGGCATTAGTTAGACTTATTTTTAATAGTAACTCTCAAGCAACCAGAAACTACATTTGAATTGAACTACATTTAAACTGTAGTTTGACAGGTTTTCAATATGCTCAGTGGAGCCAAAAAACATGATAACATTTGTGTTCCTTTTTGAGACACAATATATATTTAATACTCTGGTCTTTTTAATATTAACATTGGAGTTGGCTAAATCTTTCCCAAGTAAATAATGAGTAAATAATAAACTGAGAAGATTAGTCTCTTTGTAGATTGGGCCAAGCAGACCTCATTTGCTATGGGAAAGGATTCTATTATCCAAGGAGATAAATGAAAGCAGCCTTGAGCTACAGAATACAACTGTAAATAATAACAAAGAAAAAAGATTTTAAGTACATTCAGATCTCCTTGTATGGAAGTGAAAATTATAACCACCTGATATTGTAGCTGGGTTTAAAGGAGAACTATGGGGTAAGTGTTTTTCCCAATAGTTCTCCTAAGGCCCCGTTCACACCTTTTCCGTTTTGTAGCGCGTTCAACGCTCTATGAACGCTCTACAAAACGTACAACCATAAAAATCCCATTGTTTTCTATGGGTATGGTTCACACCTTTCCGTATTTCCGCCCGTCTGAACGCGCTACAAAACGGCTGACGCCCAAACAAGTACATGTACTTCTTTGGGCCGTTTTGGAGGGCGTTTTCCATTGGGATACAGCCAAGTAGCCTTCGGAATCGCGCGACGGTCGCGCGATTTTTTTACCGCGAATCGCGGTAAAAAAAAAGTGTGACGGTCGCGCGACAGACGTGCATGCGTAATACGCCTAGGTGTGAACCCAGCCTAAGGGTCACGGGAGGACATATGCTAGCGTCCTCCCGTGACCCAAAGCTCAGTATACCGCGAGCTACAGCTTGCGCTATACTGAGACAGCCGCAGCCGGGACGGGTCCCGACATTACTACCTTTTTAGATTGTAACCTCCTTGAGGGTAGGGAGTGATGTGAATGTGCAACTATGTAAAGTGCTACGTAAAATGTCACACTATAAAAATACCTGTTATAAATAAATACTGTCGAGATCCACCCAGCTGCGTGAGTGACAGCTGGCTCTGCCTATCTAGAGGCAGAGCCAGCTGTACCCGCCCCCTACCCTGTCCGTTTCGCAAGTCAACGCTGGAGGATCGGAGAGGGGGGGGGGGAAATCCCTGCAGGAAGCCGTGAGTGGGAGTCACTGCTCTCTGCAGGGACATGATCGAGAAGTGAGCGAGCGCCGGTATGTGTTCGCTCACTTCACGATCTATTGAGCTGACATGTGACAGTTTCATTGTCACACGTCACCTCGAAGTATGAGGTTGAGTGAAAATCACTCACCTCATAGTTCTCCTTTTAACGGTAAAGCCCATACCATTGCCATGGCTGTCTTCCCTTCCTATTCTCCCATAGAGGAATTAAATTAGTAAAGATGTAATATCAAGCCAGTCCTGCACAAAACCAAAATTGTCTGCTTACATAATCTTCTGTTATGGTAATTACAGACTTCACCTGTATGACTAGGCATGCAAAAAGCAACCATATTCAGTTAATTTCTCCAAAACATGTACATTTAATCATGTTTTGTCTCTTTAACTCTTTTGAAGCCAGACCATTTTTCGGCAGACTCATACTGCAGTGAACTACCACACACGTTCTTTGCATTGTGGCATTAAAAAAAAAGATGCAGGTCTTTTTTTCCTTCCTATTGCCATGCATTGGCACCCCATTCTTGATGAAATGGCTGCCTTAATTCATCACACGTCAACTTGTATGCAATAGCACACTGCAATGAACCTTCATAGTGATGAAAGGACCTTAATATTTTAATCTGTACTGCTCGTTATGTCATATGTGGACTATGAGGACTTAGGAGGGGGCTTCCTAAAATGGCAGGCAGTATGTGCTTTCTATATGTATTAAGAATCTTCTGGTTCGGTAGTGGCAGGAAGGTAATAACATTGGAGGGAATTTATCATAACTGGAGCAGCCAAAAATCTGCAACAGATTTGCATTGCAACCAATCCGCTTCCATCTCTCATTTTCAAAGCTCAATTGAGCAAACTGAAGAGAGATGCTGATTTAGTTGCCATGGGCAATTGCTCCAGATTCTGGCTGCTCCAGTTTTGATAAATTCCCCCCATTGTGTGTCTACTATGTATGTGAGGTAGCATCAACATTTAAATGTAGACCAGTGCCACCCACAACAGCCACACCAAGCAGGGAGCACATCCCGAGTGGTCCCTCAAGCAGTGAGTCTGTGTTCCAATGGGATATGACCTTTTAATTTCTGGCCCGGTCAGCTCATGCTGTCTTCCTTACCCACAAAATCCCTCGGGGTTCTGCTGTGGTTTACACAGGCGTTGTAATCTCCATCCAGGCGGTTCACGCCACCAAACCCCCTGCCTGACCTCTGTTGCTTGCCGGGACGGCTTCTTCTGGAGTTGTAGTTAACGGCTCCTCACAGAAGCACCACTCACCATGGTGCCTACAACCACTTCCCTCACCACCACTAAGCCAACCGACTGTTATTTGGCAGTGAACCCAGGAGTTCTCAGAGCAGAGCACTTCCGGGTTCACTGTATGGAGTAGTGTGGGCATCGGATCTCTCCTCCATGCTCCCTGGCAGCCATTCTGACACGCCTTTTCTGGCCCTGGGCTTTCAGTTGCATCAGGTGAGCCTGAAAACCAGAAGTGGGGGAGGTTAATTTACATTTTTGCCTGGAGGCAGCTGATATATTTTAAAGTGACATTAAAGGAGAACTATGGGGTTAAGGCTTTTCCCCATAGTCCTCCTTAGGGTAACGGGAGGACACACCCTAAGCTACAGCTCACGGTATACTGAGACGCCGCAGCTGAAGCGGATTCCGACAATTATGTCTGGATCCGCCCAGCTGCGTGAGTGACAGCTGACTGTGCCTATCTAGAGGCAGAGCCAGCTGTACCCGCCCCCTCCCCCATCCGTTCCGCCAGTCAGAGCTGGCGGATCGGAGCGGGGAGGGGGGAATCCAGCCACTCCCCTGTCACGGCAGAGAGCTGTGACAGGATTGAGAGGTGAGCGAAGAACGCCGGTATGTGTTCGCTCACCTCCCGATCTACTGAGCCGACCTGTGACAGTCTTATTGTCACAGGTCGGCTAGAACTATGAGGTGAGTGAAAAGCCCTTACCTCATAGTTCTCCTTTTTAAAGTATAATTTGTTTTCCCTCCCCCTAATGTTAGTGTAAGGACTTACATTAAATGATGTCTCTTAATCCGATTTTCTTCTTCTCTCCTGTCGTTATCAGCTGTCTCTCCAGCACTGCTGCGGGTCTCCGATCCTGCGGTGACTCCTCTGTGCTTGCTGGCACTTCCTGTCCCACGGTGTCTATTCACGCTGTCCATAGACTTACCTTGTGTCTCTGCTCGTCTCCCGGCCGAAAATCTGAACTTCGCATGCGCCCGCCCCAAGATCCCTTGCAGCCGCTCGAGATTTTTCAGATTTTCGTACGGTAGCACGCGGCGAAGATTCAGGTAACTTTAAACCCCTTTTTAAAGTGTTTTTTTGTTTTTTAAAAAGTTTTTGCATATATCTACTGCTCGCTAGCAGTAGATATATGCAAATAAAACGGAGGTTTTGATAACCCTTTAAAGCATGTTAATGGCTGCCTTGCGCTTATTCTAAACCTTGCAATGCCATCACGTAGTTGAAATTAACCTCCCGCTTATGTAAGATACCAGTGACATATGCGTGCTGTGCTTTTGTTGCAGAACATTGGAGCATGGATCAAGAACAAATCAGAAGTGGAGATTGTAGATCTGGTGTTGAAACTCAGAGATAAATTGGTAATGTATACACATCCGTTGTATCAGCACTGTTGTTCCCTTTAATTGTGTTGGGCCAGTTCAAGTGTACTTCACAGGGCTGATAGACACAAGCACAGTCACAGCTGGCTATTACCCCGTTCTTCAATGGGATAATAGGGAGTTAGCTGTATGCAGGAAAATATTGCTCTCCACAGTACCAACTTTATCTCAAATAACATATTTTCTGATGACCCAGTACACATTTCTTTGTTAGCCAAAATCAATGAACGGTTTATTTTAGTTCAAGGGTAGGTGAACTCCAGCCCCCCAGCTGTGGTGAAACTACAAATCCAATCATGCACCTGCCTCTTGGAGTCATACCTGTGGCTGTCAGAGACTTGCAATGCCTCATGGGATTTGTAGTTCCACAACAGCTGGAGGGCCGGAGTTTGCCCAGCCCTGTTCTAGTTTTTCACATAAAGGCTAAATTGGCCATTTGGAGTTAGATGTTTTACATGTGGGACTTAAACCTTCAAGGCACCTATCGAAAACAACAACGTTAACAAAAAGCAAGCACCTCCTGATGCCTACAAGTACCTTCCAATGTCTTCTAGAATGCATCCAGAATATTGACTTTTTCCATGTACAGTTAACTCTGCCTCTAGATAGGCAGAGCCAGCTGTCAGTCATGCAGCTGACTGACAGCTGGCTCTGCCTGTCAGCTGCGTGACTGACATAGTTCTCCTTTAAAAATTTGTGCGGACTCCAGACGGTGCCTGCTCTCCATTGATAGAACAGAATAAATGGTTACCAGCACTCCAAGTTTTCTTCAATATGAAATCCTTTTATTCATTCTTTTTGAGTACTTGGCGGTGCCATCTGCATCCACTTCAGCAGCCCCCTGCAGCATATGTGGCTTCTCTGTCAGGAGTGCGGTGGTACTCTCCATTGGACTGCTCTCCATTGATGTTGCAAATTAGTCATTTCTAAAGATAGGTTAAATTGATAGTTGCAGAGCCACACCAGACAACAGGGTTGTTACCAGTCTGGCTTTGCTGTATGGCAAAGGTCTGTAAATCACAATAATGGTTGCACTACATTACAAATCATTTGGCACATACTGTATATTTGCTTGAACTTCTGCTTTAATGTCTGCAAATTTAAGGCTTAAAAAAATCTGTATTTTGAACTAAATGTAGATGTAAACACTGATGCTGTAAGTAGTCTACTACATGTTCTGATTCATTTCTTTATGTACCCCTTTGCAGCTCAGGGCTCACAGACAACACCTTCCTGTCAGCTCTGCTTCTCTGACCAAGCTGAAACTTCACATTGATGAAGTAATCCACTCACTTCCTGAAGATCTGCAGAGCATCTTGCATCCTCAGTAAACAATTTCAGTAGTATTCCCAAAAGATCTGTAGAGCATATTGCATTATATATGTATAACATCTTGAATCATTATAATCATTAAAACTTTGTTGAGGGCTGATAAGAAAAAAACAGAGAAACCCCCTTATTTAGGAGAAACCTGCAAAAAAATACACACATTAGGAGTCTCAAGCAATACTGGAAGATCCATCTTCTCTATTTACAAGGGCGAAAACTTGGAAATGCCAGTCTGATATACTGGGATCCTACATTATCACTGAAGGAACAAGCACCAAAAAAAAATGGGCCCATACAAAGCTAGTTTATTGGGTGTTCCGGTATAGCAACCTTTGAAGTTGTGATGAAAAATACTGTATAGCCTCTAAACAGATGTCTGCTTTTTTCAGTTTTTCTTCAATATTGGTAATATATTGCTTATGTCACAACAGAGCTTTGTGCGATTTGCTGGAAAATGGTTCACTCTTGTTAGAGCCCCTGAAAGGGTTAAGAACATCTGTCCCCTTCAGTTAAACAAGGTCTAAGACCTATGTTGGAGCAGGTTTTAAAGTGGGTGGAACTATGTTTTATACTCGGTGTTACTTTGTGCACGTGGCATAATTTCATATATGCCACTATATTTATATGTATGATTTAAATGAAATGTAATAAAACGACATACTCCACATTTGTTGTGATGACATTTTCAGACATTCGTTTAAGGACTCATGCAGATGGACATCAAACTGCATTGACAAAGATGTGGTGTGACCCCTGGTACACTGGTACTGGATCCCAGAAACAGATTTAACTGGTACAAGACACTTTTTTTTTCTTTTGTGGTGAATGCAAACTGTAATACCTGCACAGTGGGGGTCACAGCCGCAGCATGCCTCAGTAGATACAGTGAAGAATCTGTGTGCATTTGGTGTCTGCTGATAGCAGGTTGGAAGCTCTGACGGATGCTGTGTGTCCATCAGAGACTACATTCATCACGGTGGTAAGAAAATAGGGGCCATTCCAGCACCTCTCAAATTCTGACGTACTAGGTATTAAGGTGCTTGTCCAATAACACGTGTTAGCACTGTGTATTATTTCTTAACATGGCTGCTGCCCATGTGCATGACCCCTAAAACGCATTGGCTACAGATGCCTAAATCCCAATTGTTAAAATAAATGTAAACATAAAACTCAAGCACAAGTCGATTTCTGTATCAGATGCAGTTAAGTTGTTTCCGAAACATAAAATTACTCGGAAGGCCTATTAAATTGTATATTGGGGTTTGGTGTAACAAGTCTGTCTCCAAAATGCACAAATGTTTATCTCTCAAATAAAAAGTGTCAGTTCAGACTGCGCATATGTTCAAAAATGCATTAAGATTACCTTCATTGTGACACCTACATGTCAAAATGATCGGTAGACCATACTGTTCCTATAATGTGGTGTGTGGCCTTCTTGCCCAATACAGAAGCTTTAAGGGGTAGAGCCAAGCTTGACTTTAGCAGGAAAAAAATCAGGTTTGCATATACTGTAGCTTCAGCTGCCTATATATTGGAATCTGACTATTCTGATCAACATTTCCACTGATAGTGACCTGTGCTGATGCATTGTTTCATCATATGCTCAGTTTAAATTGTTCAGGCGTGTGAAAGATTTACCTTTAATTAGATGTAGACCATTACTGGATCACTTGTAATTTGCTCCAGGGCCTTCTATCTAGTGCCTGATGGAGTCCTCATGCAGTTCTGCGATGTCACATTCTGCATGTGTCAAAGAGATGCACTTGACGTGTTTTTGAGTGAACTGGATGGTGATGGCGCTATCTATTTGTTTCATTGCTTCACCTAGCTGTATGGAATACATTCGAATTGTTATCTTATGTGCAGGGTGACAAAGCAAGAGCACAACTGGGGGGACACAAAGTGCCTGAACAAAGACTGTCATGGCGGGATCACCAGATATTATTTTAAAGTCCATCTAAACCAGGGGTGGCCACAATTTTTTGTGTTTTAAGATCTACTTTTCAAATGACTAGCTACATGAGATCTACCAATGAAAAAAACCTCTCTCGCTCTCCTGGCTGTCACTTCTTGCTCTCTTTCCTGGCTGTCTCTCCTTGCTCTCTTTCTTGGCTGTCTCTCCTTGCTCTCTTTCTTGGCTGTCTCTCCTTGCTCTCTTTCTTGGCTGTCTCTCCTTGCTCTTTCTCCTGGCTGTCTCTCCTTGCTCTTTCCTGGCTCTCTTCTTGCTCTCTCTCCTGGCTGTCTCTCCTTGCTCTCTCTCCTGGCTGTCTCTCCTTGCTTTCTCTAAAGTCGCTGCTCTACAATATTACAGAACACTGGGAAGCTAGACCTCGTACTTCTCCTTTCGTGCTCAGCCCCCCATCCTAAAGTTGCTGCTCTCATGCTGTCGGCCTCTGCCTTCATGTGTCAGACGCAGCAGACTGGTTGAGCTAAACAGACTATAGGTGGGTTCTCGGGATAGTGAGCTGACTTACAATCGTGATCTACCAGCATCAGCTTTGTGAGCTACTGGTAGATCACGATCTACCTAATGGGCACCCCTGATCTAAACCCTCTATTTTTTTTCCTTAATGCGACTTGCCATTTTTAATGACTTAACAGAAATGTAAATGACCTCTTCTTCTTTTTTTAATGGTAAATGCAGCTAGGAAGCTGGATTTCTTATGCACCCTGCTAGACTGAGTAGGACTTTTACACCATTTCCCTAAGCTCCTGCAGATAAAGCAATGTGCTGTCAATCTAGAAGTCTGTAGGCAGAACTAGGTGTAGGATCTAAGCAGGTATAACAGCAGCAAAGGTGACAATGCTGCAGTGATTTCACTGCAGAAGGAAGAATGTTGTCACCCGACAAAGAAGTTCCTAACCAATGGTTGGCAGAATCAACAGGTATTTATGAAATGTTCCACGTGGTATTTAGAAAAACAGAGAACCCAGTCTTATTATGGGTATGGCCAGTCTACATCATATATGTGATTTCATAGTTTGACCATAGCTCTATTTTAAAGCGAACTGTAGGCTGCTATACAAGTTCCTCCCACGGGACAGTTCACCTCATATATAAATGGTTCAAAGTTGCTGTAAAACCTTCCACATATTTTAAATGGCATGTTTTTGTAAAAGTGTAATGCAAATGCACAGTGCAAGAAGTGTTCTTGGCTTACTAGTGATGCTGGAATGTGATTGTGACGTCACTTATTCCCCGGGGGCAGCAGCCACTGCTCTTGTAATGGCGGTGATAGGAAGGTTTACCTCCCACAGGACCAATCACATCATTTACTCTATTTTACTTTTAGTTTCAGTAGTGGTAGCCCGGAGCTAGCACCCACTGTATCACCAAACCTCACACAGCGATATGACATTTTTCTCCATCCTGACCAATGTAAATCACATACCATTTAGGTCTTCTACTGTAACGGTGGATTGGCATGAGACATAGCACTATGGGGGGATAAAACTCCAGAAGGAAGAGCAAGCTGGAAAATCAAAGATGATGCTGCACACAAAGTCAGCACCAACAAAAAGCGTATTTCATTTTAAAAGTAGCAATGGAAATCTGCTGTAAGCAGTAAGTGCAATATGATTGGATTTCATAGCACTGGACTTTGGGCTATCGTTTGAATGTTGTATTGGACTATAGTTCCACTTGAATGAATATTGAAGGCTTAAACAACTTTTGAACTGATAAAAACATATCCCTCAGAAGGCGAGTCAGTTTTGTAATTATCCTAAATGATGTCTCTTTTAATCTTGCTGCAGCAGTAATGGGATGATTTTGTGTTCCTGTGTTGTGTAAATTATGTATATTGCTATGCATGTGAGAATTCCTAAATTGTGCGGTTCCTATGAAATAAAACATGATGCTCCAGTCAGAGGAGCCCAAATGTGATATAGTCCATGTTTCCATTTTGTTTACCTTTTATTATTAATAATATACCCCTCTCCCCTACTGTATACACCAATCAGCCATAACATTATGTTAAGTGAATAACGTTAATTATCTTGTTACAATGGCACCTGGAAGTGGGTGGGCTCTATTAGGCAGCAAGTGAACATTTTGTTCCTGAAGTTGATGTGTTTGGAAGCAGAAACAATGGGCAAGCCTAAGGATTTGAGTGACTTTGACAAGGACCAAAGTGTGATGGCTAGACAAGTGGGTCAGAGCAACTCCAAAACTGCAGCTCTTGTGGGATGTTCCTGGTCCGCAGTGGTCAGGGGTTGAAGGTGTTGACTTCCTCCAAATTCTCCAGATCTCACTCCAATCTAGCATCTGTGGGATGTGCTGGAAAAACAAATCCTATCCATGGAGGCTCCACCCCACAACTTACAGGACTTAAAGGATCTGCTACTGACAGCTTGGTGCCAGATACCACAGCATACCTTCAGAGGTCTAGTGGAGTCCATGTCTCCATGGGTCAGGGCTGTTTTGGCAGCAAAGGGGGACTACTCAATAGTAGGTGGTCATATTGTTATGGCTGAGAGGTGTATGTTTTAATATTAATCCTGCCTTTAAAGTCTTGGTGTTTACAAAAATACAAACAATATGTCATCCCTAAAAATCAAATCCTTTATTGTATTTACAAACAATGCTAAGCAGATTGACTTTTTTTTGTTAAAATTTCGGGACATATTTATAAAGCAGAAAATGACATTTACAAAAATGTCACAGGTAGTTAAAAGGAGAAGAGTGGGAAGAAGACATACTCTCCCTGATGCTTAGAGCTGGCGTGGGACACTGCAGCTGGCCCACACTGGTCCTAAGGCTTCCACTCTCTCCTCCTCCTCCAGTGCTGGCTGAAGCTACAGGCCAGGGAGGGCGCAGCTGGCTTGGGCTCTCAGCTATCAATTAGGCAGTTGGGATGGATGCTGACAATATCAACAGGATCCTTATCAGCTCATAGCTGGCACTAGGCTGACCATAGGTCACCGAAGTACATTAGTAAAACTACTCCTGTGAGCCAAAATAAAAGTACAGCCAAAGAAGGGTTTGGCGTTACTTCTCTTTTAACAATTCCCTGTAATATAAAAACACATGCATCAGGAAGATTCACCTGCAGTGAATATTTGCAGAATGTCGCTGCTTCATAAATAGGACCATAGTAGTGTTTCATATATTGTAATTCAGTATATAAATGAGAAACTAAAACCACCCATGCATGACAGACGTTAGAAATTTTTCACTGTTTAAATATTTTTGTTCCCCCAAAACGAATGTACACGTGCACGCTCCTGGGGATCCAAGCACCATGCTTTTCTCTGCAACCAAAACAATAATGGGGAACAGATGTGATACAATCTGTGGGATTCATTTTTCTTACACTGGTAATGTACGAAATTCATCTTTTCTGCAAACTGGCCAAATGACAGCTAATTATTACATCATCTGCGTATGAGCAGCTAAACCAAGACAATGCCTTAGTATGCACAAATCATAGAACTCCTTATGCCATCAAGGCCTTCTGGAAGTGTTCGGAAAATCTTACTTTCCGCTTCTGCTACAATATTGTGCGGAATCTAATACTGATGTATTTCCACATTTCATTTCTTAACCCCTCAATGTGTTGCATTTAGATTTTTTTTCTGCAATGATATACAGCTGAGTTTCCCAAACTTCTCCCGGGTACAACTAATGGCTCATGTTTCTCACAGCTTTTAATAGTAGCTATGTTCATATTAGATCGTACACTTGTGCTTCTACTGATTAGTCTCAAGAACATGACGACTGGTAGCAGTAAATTTGGTGTATGTGTAGAATTGAATTTATCTTTCTAATTTGTAAAAGCTCAAGGAAGCGGGGGCCGTTGCCTATAGTAAGCAATTACATTTTTTTTTCCAACTTACAAATAAAACAAGGCATCCGGCTGCTTCCCAATGGTCAACAGTTTCAGGACTGCTCAACGTTTCTGGCAGTGAGCCACATACTTGTTCCTGCTCTGGCTATCTCTTTGCTGCAGTACAGACTTTCTCCTATCGTCAATGGAGATTTTGGTGTGCATGGCCAGAAGGCGCAGTACCTGACATTGCGGATTATAAAGAAAAGGTTGCAATATGCAGGTCGCACAACAACATCTTGGCAGGAGGGGACAGGTAAGTATGTAGGTTGGGAGAGGACATCAGGACCACTAAAGCTCGCCACACACATTACTATCCGATTTGTAAAATCTCCTTTAGATGTACCAATAGATATGTAGTGCATGGGCCTGCCAATTTGGATTAGACGGACTGGATAGTTTAGGTAGGTCCGTCCTCATATTACATAGTTTTGGAAAATCTAATTGTAACATGTATGGTGACCCTAAATGTAGCTGCACTAAAAAGTGCAACTAGCCTGTGTTTGTCCAACTGTTTTGACGTGCCGTGCAAATCAATATAACACCATTCAAATAACCAACTAATGTTGTGTTCAAAGAAATATGAGGAGTATATTTATAAACAATTTGCAGAGCCAAGTGCCCTGCAAAGTTGCATGTACATCCGTTCTGTATGAATGGAGGCAAAAAAAACGAAAATGTTTTTAGTATGTTTTCTTTTCAAGTCAAATGTAATGTCAATAAAATACCACATTATGGCCACTAGATGGCACACAGGAGCTTGGGAGATAAAAACTTATTTCCTATGCACCTCCGCTCCATCTAGTGGCCATAATGTGGTATTTTCCTAAAAATACATGCTATCTGAAAAGTAAATATACTAATAACGTTCGTGTTTTGCCTACATTGGCTCAGACCGAATGTAAATGAAATTTGGCAGGGCAACTGGCTGTGAATGGTTTATAAAGACACCCCTAAGTGTAGATAAAGCCTTAACCAGGATGTACCCAGCATCTCCTATCGTCAGTACGTGTAACTGGTCCCTGGATTACATAACACCATAAATGCAGTTTAAAAAATTGTGCAATAGTATGTCCATAAAGCAAGAAGTCCTATTTTTCCACTAATGTTTGCCTGTATTGGTCAAAGCCTGAAATGTAAAATCACCTCTTTCCTCCTACCCACCACCTACTGCCATCTTGGGCCCGCAGAGCTGCATTTCGCTCCTCCGGGGAGAAGTGTAGGACCGTCAGAAGCGCACTTAAGGTGTGTTGTCTACCTCGGGGATCAGACATTGTCAAGAAACCCAGCAACACATTTTTCAGATACTCCATGTTCGCCCCTTCTCTGCTTCTGTCTCGTAGAGCCTTTTCAATCTGTTCACGCAAATTTTGCATATCCTCGCTTTTCTCTGCTAACCGTTCATGCAAACTTTGAATTTCGGCTTCCAGCTCATGCTTCCTCCGCCTCAGGTTTCCAATCTCAGCTTCTTTACGGGACAGCTGTTCTACATAAACAAGAAAAGCAGAGGAATTGCTGATTGGGAGTTCTAAACCATTATCTAAAGGATCTGGCGATAGTGGGGGTATGCCGTTTGGAATCTTGGCTTCTCTCAGTTTCTCCAGTTCCTGCTCTTTCTCTGTTAGCACTGCTAACACCCTCTCCCTGTGCTGTCTTAGTTCCTCTTCCATTCGTACCATATTCTCTCTGCTTTCTTTCCGTACATGCTCTAGTTCCTGTCTGTGTGCCTGAGCCAACAGTATGAGCTCCTTGCGGACAGCTTCCATCTCCAGTTTGTGCTTGTTTTCTGCCTCCTCAGCCGCCATTCTTAGAGAGACATATTTTTCTTTTAACTCCGCCATTTTTTGTTTTCCAGCTTCCAGTTCTCCTTCCCGTGCCCCTTTAGTCCTCAGCACTCCCTGAGCCCGAGCTTTGTAGCGCTCAAACTCCTCTCTTAACTGCTGGAGTTCTTGTTGGTAAAACAGAACAGATCCATGGGGCTCTTGGCCATCATTATTGTCCTCTGCTATGGGAGTTTTCATGAGATGAGATTCAGCAGGGGTTTGCAGTGAAGCAGCCATACCGATTGTTTTATTTTCTGTTTCCAGCTGAATGACGCGGTCTCGTAGTTTGCGGATAGTGATTTGGTCCCTCTGTTTGGATGTTTCTGCTGCTCCCAAAAGCTCAGAGAGCTCGGACACCTGAGATTCCAAGGAGCGTATTCTTTCTTCTTCTTGCAGGAATCTCTGCACGTTGTGTTGCTCCTCCACCTGCCGCTGCAACCAGGAGTAAAGCGTGAGAAAGCTATGTAAGTAAAATTTATACAACTCAGAACATACTACAAATATGAAATGGCATAGCAAAGACCAAATACAGGAAGGTATGCTAAAAGCATGGAATGTGCTTTTATTTTGCAAAAATTGGAAAAAAAAAAAAAAGATTTAAAATAAAGCTGATCTCCAGGTTTAATTTTACATACTTACATTGGGCCAAGCTGGACCAATGTAAGTATGCATATGACATACCTGATCCCCCGCTGGGGATCCTGTAAAACACTGTAGTAGCTGCAGCTACTACAGTGCTGACCGCAATCTTCCGAATCTTGTACTGTACTGTGTTGAGTAGCATCCCCTCTGCTCTGAAAAACCAGGGGGAGGGGGGTTGCTCGTTATTCTTGATTACATGTATTTTTGTAATCATGGTATGGCATATAACCACACCATATCCTAGTCTATGAGTTGGATAAGGATGTGGTATGAACAAATGTTCCAACGTTTTGCAATACCCAATACACTCTTACCCCTGGTAGAGATCTGCTCTATGTTTCAAGTGTAGTGTACAGGCTGTAGACGATTATATTAAGCATATCAGTATATAAATAGAATTCTGTAATGTGAAAATATTACAAGTCACCAATAAAGGCTGTACGCTTGTGTAGGACATATATTTATGTGACTGTGTAAGTTAATAACCATTAATGACATTTGATCTCTGAAAGGTTACCTTTTGCCTTTCCTCTTGCAGCAGAGCCTCCATTTCTTTCTTCACAGCAGACAACGCTTTCTGCAGCTCCTGTACTGCAGGGTTAGGTTCAGCTTTCTGTCTTTTTGCCTCCTGCAGTTGCCTTCTCAAATCTTCAATGTCCTTACGTAGCCTTTTGCTTTGGTCTTCTGCTGCCTCTGCTCTGATTGCAAGCTCTGATCTTCCAGACAACTCTTGCCGTGCCTCCACTAATTGGAGTTCTACTCCCTGCCTTTGGTCTCGCTCTCCCTGCACGAGTCGCTGTAGCTCTTTCAGCATTACTGAATGGTCTGCCTGCTCTTGAGCACGGTCATGCTGCTGACTTATGAGCCTGGTCTTGGTCTCAGCCAGCTGAGCTTGAAATCCCTGAATCTCTTCCCGCAAGCCATCACGCTCTTGTTGCATTCTCTGAACGGTTTCTTCCATCTCCTGCTTTGCTTTTCGTTTGTCTGCTTGGTAGGAAGCCTCCATCCGAGATTTCTCTTGTGTAACTGTGGCCAAGGCACTGAAGATAGAAGATACAGGTTTGAATAATAAACAAGTTGACCCCGTATGCCAGAAAAAAAAATGAGCAAACAAGATCTTTGCAAAAATAAATAGTATCATTAATTAATTTTAGTTTAAGCAGTTTTCATTGATAGAGCTGCTGAATGGGAGTAAAAGCATTGTTGCCAAAAGACCTTTAGGCTGGGTTCTCATTACAGCATTCTATCGTGCTTTTCTTGTTTTGCAGCATTTGACATCTTAAAAAAGGCAGCAAAATGCATGCTGAAACCACTGTAAAGAAAAAAGGTAAAACATTCATTAAAGACCAGGGATGCACCGAAATTTCAGCCGCTGAAACATATTGGCCGAAAATGGCACTTTTGTCAAAATGCCAAAAGTGCCATCTTTTGGTTGAAATAGCGGTGGATCCCTGGTTTCTCTCTTCCCCGCTCTGTGTACCAGCGGGGGAGAGAAACTGTCACAGGAGGCCGAGCAAGGGAGGAGAGTGCTGTGACAGACTAGGAGTACGGCAGTGTGGGACAGCTGACAGCTATCTTTGCCTCCACACCGTTGCTCTCCTGATCTGTCACAAGAGGCTGAGCTCTCCTCCTGCACTGCTCAGCCTCCTGTGACAGATCAGGAGAGCGGCAGTGTGAGAGGGCGGGGACGGCTGTCATAGGGGGCCGGGGAGGGGAAGGAGTCAGCTGTCAGAGGCGATCAAGCTCTCCTCCCCTCACCGCTTGCTCAGTCTTCTGTGACAGCGTGTCAGAATGGAGAGCAGTACAAGCACTCAGTGATTAGTGAACACTGAGTGTTTTGTAAATAATTGAAGACACAGTGAAGGGAATTTATCAAAACTGGCGCAGACAAAATCTGGAGCAGCTGTGTACGCCAACCAATCAGCTTCTCTTTCATTTTCAAATCTTAACTGAAGAAACTGAAGAGATAAGCTGATTGGTTGCCCTGGGCAACTGCTCCAGATTTTGATAAATTCCCCGGAGTATGTTTACGGTGTCCACAATTATGAATGAATGGAAAGTGATCTACAATCACCTCCTGTTCATTCATGATTGTGGTTATAGTAAACATACTCTGTCCTCATGTTATGAATGGACAGGAACACTCAGTATAGAGTTCATTGTTCATTGATAACAGGGGCTGCAGAAAAAGAGATTGAGGACTCTGTGTTCTCAATCCCTTTTTCTAATTTAAAAGGGTAATATCAGGGGTCCGTTTAGATATTTCCAGTATTTCTCCAGAGCCCCCAACAGTAAAGTTAAAAAAATAAAAATAAATATTTAATAAAGCAGAAAAGTAAAAAAGTTTATAAAAACTTTTCAAAAAAATGTGCAAAGGTTAGAACTCCCCCCCCCCCAAAAAAAAAACCTTTAGGCTGGGTTCACACCTAGGCATATTGAATATGCGCGTTTCGCGTCTTTACCGCGATTGGCGATAAAAAAAACACACGACAAACGCGCGTTTCCGAGGGCTACTTGGCTGTATCCCAATGGAAACACCCGACCAAAACGCCCCAAAGAAGTACATGTACTTCTTTGGGCGTATGGCGGTTTCCCGCGCGTTCTTACTCGTGGAAAAATGCCCAGATGGGAACCATGCACATTGAAAATAATGGAATTTCCCTGTTTGAGCGTTTTTCCGCGAGTACGAACGCGCGGAAAAACGCCCAGGTGGGAACCGGGCCTCAGGTTTCAACCTGAAATTTTTTTTATTTCGGTTTTGAAATGTTAATGTCAGTGCACCTCTATTAAAGACGCAAGCTGCATGTGGTTCTTTATAGAGCTATGGTGTTAATTGCATCTTTGTGTAACCATCGATCTATTAGGAACCCATATTTCTAGTGACAAGGGGTCACTGTTCCTTCATCCCCAAGTTTTACTGGGAACTGTAATTCCACATTTCAACTGCAGTAATACCTGGTTGTAAACAAAAAACAATAAACCACTTCTGTTTAATGATGCCAAATGAATTTTAAAATACAAGCACCAAACTCTTCTGGCAGGCAAGGATAGCGATTATGTACATACTCCAGAGTGTAAAAGCCAGTGTGTTCTGAGACCCCTAGCAAAGTGGTGATTGCGCCAAGGTTCTTACATCACATAAAGCAAAGTAAGGCCTTTTTGTTGCCATAATAATACAGAAAAATTGGAAACAAATAACATACATGAATGTTAAATGCTAACCTTGTAAGAGTGGAAAGCTGGTTCTTAAGCTGCACCATTCTTCTGTCAGTATCTGCAGGAGTAGAAGAACCACCATCTCCACTAGCTGTGCTAACCCCGCTCTCTGAACCACTTGCCTCTTCTGCACCTATACCACCAACAGGCTGCACAGATTCCAGTCTTTCATCCTCACTGGTCTCTCCCCCCCTAGCACTTGGTAAACTTCCAGCTGTATCCAAACTGTCTTCACTGTGTATAGAGTGCTGGTCATCGTGTGGCTCTTCCACATCAGAGGACAGTACATTGGGTTCCTGTGAAGTAGACAAAACATGAAGACTGGCTTCCAAAGCTTCCTTCTCTTTCAAGAGACTCTTGTACGCCCGCACCACATCCTTCAGTCGAGCTTGGTACTGCAGCAACTGCTTCCGCTGGGTTTCCACTAACTCCTGCAATTCTTTTTTACTTGGGCCACCTCCAAAATTCATGCCCAGTTTCTCCATGGCACATTTAGTCCATCACCCTAAATACAAAGGCAACAATAAGAGGATAAATGAAAACATGTGTACATTTGCTTAGGAGATATGCAGTTATAGGGAACTGAAAGTGGTAAAGCATGAGAAAACAAATGTGATGACGGGAAAGACAGTTAATAGCAATAAGGAAGATAATTACAAGAAGAAAAAAAAAAGCACCGGCTTAGATAGTCCATTAATCACATAAATAATATATGCATAAAACATTCAAAAACATGATAAATATTACCATGCATCTGCAAAATTGTACTCTAAAAGTGCGACCTATACTAGTTAGTCTCGGCTCCCATGCTGTGAATCAGTGCCATTAGTTAGGTCATCAAGCCAAGAAAAGCATAAAACGTCCTTGTCCATCCAAAGTGTTCTAATGGAGAATGGATCTTATTATGCATAGAAATCAGGCTCCTTGTTTCATAATCATACCTGGCCTGTCCAAATGATAGTTGTAAGCTGACTGGTTGCTACTGGCAACGGAAACACATCACCTCTGAAAAGTTATGCGAGAAGAGAGCGCCAAAGCCTGCCGGAGCAGGGAATAGGGTGAGAAGGGAGTGCCAAAGCCTGCCGGAGCAGGGAATAGGGTGAGAAGGGAGCGCCAAAGCCTGCCAGAGCAGGGAATAGGGTGAGAAGGGAGCGCCAAAGCCTGCCGGAGCAGGGAGATAGGAGAGCGCCAAAGCCTGCCGGAGCAGGGAGTAGGGTGAGGAGAGAGCGCCAAAGCCTGTCGGAGTAGGGTGAGAAGAGAGCGCCAAAGCCTGCCGGAGTAGGGTGAGAAGAGAGCGCCAAAGCCTGCCGGAGTAGGGTGAGAAGAGAGCGCCAAAGCCTGCCGGAGTAGGGTGAGAAGAGAGCGCCAAAGCCTGCCGGAGTAGGGTGAGAAGAGAGCGGCAAAGCCTGCCGGAGTAGGCTGAGAAGAGAGCGGCAAAGCCTGCCGGAGCAGGGTGAGAAGAGAGCGGCAAAGCCTGCCGGAGCAGCGTGAGAAGAGAGCGCCAAAGCCTGCCGGAGTAGGGTGAGAAGAGAGCGCCAAAGCCTGCCGGAGTAGGGTGAGAAGAGAGCGCCAAAGCCTGCCGGAGCAGGGAGTAGGGTGAGAAGGGAGCGCCAAAGCCTGCCGGAGTAGGGTGAGAAGAGAGTGCCAAAGCCTGCCGGAGTAGGGTGAGAAGAGAGTGCCAAAGCCTGCCGGAGTAGGGTGAGAAGAGAGTGCCAAAGCCGGCCGGAGTAGGGTGAGAAGAGAGCGCCAAAGCTTGCCGGAGCAGGGAGTAGGGTGAGAGGAGAGTGCCAAAGCCTGCCGGAGCAGGGTGAGAGGAGAGCGCCAAAGCCTGCCGAAGCAGGGAGTAGGGTGAGAGGAGAGCGCCAAAGCCTGCCGGAGCAGGGTAAGGGGAGAGCGCCAAAGCAGGGTAAGGGGAGAGCGCCAAAGCCTGCCGGAGCAGGGTAAGGGGAGGGCGCCAAAGCCTGCCGGAGCAGGGTAAGGGGAGAGCGCCAAAGACTGCCGGAGCAGGGAAAAAGGGTGAGAAGAGAGCGCCAAAGCCTGCAGGAGCAGGGAATAGGCTGAGAAGAGAGCGCCAAAGCCTGCCGGAACAGGGATGAGGTAACTATTACATTGCATTCTTCTATCCTTTGACTTAACAAGCATTTAACCCTTATAGAGCAGAGGAGGGTACTGCAAGTGTCATTTTTGTAGACACCCCAGAGTTGGGCTTTAATCTTTACATTTAGCGGTTTGCCTGGGAGTTCAGCAAAGTGTTACTTCTAAAAATGCCACAAATACGTGGATCTCTCAGTTTGGGATCGGTACGGTTTGTGTCAGTGGGAGGTATGAGCTGTCTATAGCTGTAGGTTCAGTGGTGGAGTGATGTATGGGCCTGTGCTGGTCTCCGCAATGACTACAGCCTCCCCCGACACAAATCTACACACAATACGACTTCTCGCTGCCACTTACCTCCCAGGCCCTCCATAAGATTCTAAGCACCCGGGAGGTGCCACTGACGTGTCTGCTGCACGGCAGGTCACCCGTCTCTATCCGGGTCTAGGTCCGGAACGGAACATTTCCGGCTAGCAAATGACGGGTGTACAAACATGGCGGACACATGACTTCCGGCAATCAGCCCCGTGCGATCTTGACTACGAAAGGTTTCCAACATACGAGAAAATAATTGCTTTTTGATTCGCAGAGAATGTTGAGCGAACTTCTAGGGCTCGAGAGCCGCGCATGCGCAGTGGTAAGTGGAGCACCGGGGGCGCGTCCTTGAGGAGGCTCGGCGCTGGGGTTAGCCTGACTAAGAATTGCTTTCAGCAGCTTTTGTACGGAACGCCGAGTAACTCGCAGCCGTACAGTGCCTGCTAAGTCGGTAGCGAGCCCTCCCGTCAGCTTGCCCGCCCCCGTCATGTGGCCCCTCCTCCTGTGTCCGCCATCTTGCGGCCGGTGACTGAGGCGATCTCGGCCCGTGACAGTAGAACGGAGAGTGTGGACAGAGCGAGGGGTACAGATCGGGCGCCGTACTCTGCACAGCCGGGCTATACCGGCCCTGAGCGCTAAACGCGGATCTGGATGAGACAGCCGTGGCGGTGAGGAGACTCGGAGCCTGAGTACCGGGGACAAAGTTCCAGCGCTTTCCCACCATTGGCCGTATGTGTTTTCATGGCTACCCTTCCCTTGTACTAGTGTGTGTGGAGTGTGTCGGGGATGGTGTGACTCCTTTATCCGAAGGAGAATAGGCTCCAGTATTGTGTGGTGCCTGCTGCTTCTCGGTGTTGTGTGTTATGATCGGCGCGATGTGCCAGGGTGGGTGCCCTGTGGACATTATTCCGGTGGATGTTCTCTGCTCTCTCTCTCCTGATGGTTAGATCATGACCTCTGACATCACTTCAGCTCGTATCCAGGAGCTGCCATCACTCAGGGTGTCAGAGGTCACCTGAAGTCTGACAATTGCTGACCCCCTAGCTGCCTGACCTCGCTCAATGAGGGTGATTTACTAAGGGACAATGTACATCCTCTTGTTGCAGCTTTGCATGTTATGTACCTTGATGCATTGTGTGTCTATTCATTTTAAAGCCCCTCCCCCCCCCAGTGCACTAAGGCAGGGGTGGGCAATTCCGCCCCTCCAGCTGTTGTGGAACTACAAGTCCCATGAGGGATTGCAATACTCTTGTCAGCTACAGGCATGACTGCCAGAGGCTGAGGCATGACAGGCGTTTTAGTTTCACTACAGCTGGGATGCTGAGGTTGTCTACTCTTGCACTAAGGCATGGGTGGGCAACTCTGGCGCTCCAGCTGTTGTGGAACTACAAGTCCCATGAGGCATTGCAACACTCTCTCAGGCACAGGAATTACTTCCAGAGGGATGATGGGATTTGTAGTTAAAGCACAGCTGGAGAGTAGGAGTTGCCCACCCCTGCACTAAGGCAACTCGCATGCCTTACAACACACCGAAGTACATCGTGGCATAAACTTTACGACATGTCTAATTTATTTTTGATGTTTTTGTGCATCAGACGCAAATTGACTGACTTTAATTGACTGCCCTAATGCGACACCTGCTAATGTGTGACATAACACACATGGTGCCCCGTAGTGTGTTGTGTTGGGACAAAAAACGTTTGTGACATGTCCGATTTTGGGACTGTTAGATGCGTTAGAAGCCTGTTGATTTCAATGTCTTATTGCAGCACAGTTTAACCCCTTCATGACTGAGGCCTTTTTTTCATTTTTTGCACCCATGTTATATTCCACATTTTAGGCCTGAAAATTACTTAAAACCCCCCAAATATTATATATTTTCTGAATGCCAAGACCCTATACAATATAACGGTGGTAGTTGCAAATGTTTATGTTGCGCAATATTAGCGCAACTCCTTTATTAAACCCCAAAATTTAGTGATAAATTTAATTAAATGCCCCACAACACAACAAAATACCCATTTTTTAAATGAAATATAAAATGAGGTTACAACGAGTAAAACGATACCCAACATGCCCAGTTTACAAATTGCGTGCATCCGTGAAACGGCGAAAAACTGCAGTACCCCAAAAAGACCACAGAAGACGCGGTGATACCCAACATGTGTAGCGCGTTCGTCATTTTCATAGGTAGGCGCACCCGACATGTGTTTACGTGGCGACGCGCGTGCTCGCGGGTGCGGGGGACTTTTAATTTTTTTTATTATTATCATTAGATTTATTTATTTTGATTTTAATTTTAAAAACTTTTTTTTACTTTACTTTGACTGCTATCACATGGGGGGTTTTACTTTGACTGCTATCACATTCGATGAACAGAAGTTCGTCGACCTCCTCTCGAGCTCCCCGCGGACACCAAGGACGTAGGCCCGTAGAAGGGGCAACGGAGCCCGGGAAGCACGGCGGCGGTGTCCGGCGGGGGGTGGGGCCACCCCTTCTTCGGGACACAGAAGCGATCTGGCGACAGGTGAGTCGCCAGAATCGCTTCTGTTGTAAAGCCGACAGTCGGCTCTACAAGTTTAAACAGAGTCCCGGCGGCAAAAGTCGCCGGGAGTTTGTTTAAACAGCCCCGATGCTGGCGACGTACACTGTACGTCGTCAGTCACGAAGGGGTTAATGTGTGACATAACACATGTTAATGCAGTGCACAGATGTTAATGGACCCTAAGGAAGTGGTGGGCAAATGCCAGCCCTCCAGCTGTGGTAAAACTACGAATCCCATGATGCACCTGTCTCCGGGAGTCGTGGCTGTGAGACTCTTGCAATGCCTCATGGGATTTGTATTTCAACAACAGCTGGAGGGCCGGAGTTTACCCAACCCTGACCTAAAGGATTTGTGTGTATTCATTTCAATTAGCCAATTACGTGCAGACGAAATGAGCGAGCTGGGGTTTGTTTTTCACATGAGTGCATAATTGAGGTAAGTCACACTTTATTTAAAACAACTTCAAGGATGAGGCAGATGACAAGCAGTGAGAGTCCTTCACACACCAGCTGAAATGTCAGCCTGGACAAGGGAGCCTGCACAGGTATATCACAAATGAGCTAATATTGTCTAAATACAAGAGTCGTGTGTATTCTTCCTTGAATCTTGCTGTACCCGGCATCTGAGATCTGTGCAGTAATACAGACCAGTCACTGCTGCTCTCTCTCCTAGTGCAGGGTGACTGGTCTTGTATCCGCCCCCCTCATGTAGTTTTCTGCAGGCCGCAATACAAGGTAATATCTGGGTTTGCTGAGGCATTAGGTGCACACAAAGCCGATTTGTATCCTTTGTGGCTATTGAGGAATATAATTGTGCCGTGAGTTCAATGTTTGCAGTAGCTCAGTTATGACGGGTTGCCTGTAAAAGGTGTGAGGTAATGGGGAGATTTAATTGAAAACTTGATCTTAACGGGGGCGGTTGCTAATAGCAACCAGTCGGCTTCTACCTTTTATGTTTTCCACGCACCTTAGAAAAGGAAAATGTAAAAGCTGTGCTCCATTTGACACAAACTTGAGAAAGATGTCTCAGACACTTTTTATTAATCCCCTCCAATGTGTCTACTGACTCTGTGACAGGTCTGAATGTCACATGAACAGTTACATTTGATGCAGTGGTGTCACTAGGGGGATGCGGCCCACATGGGGTGACACCAAAAATCAGTCTGAAAAGTCGGGCACTCGGTCATGGACTAAGAGCCCGACAGTTGCACTAGAGAGGAGGGGACCTGGCGCAAATCTTATGCCGCCCGGTGAACTGCCTCTCCTCTCTCTGCCAGCGTTCTTCACCAAGATGGCTGCAGGCAGGTAAGTGCGTGTAATGTCACTCGGTGGCTGCTGCGGGTTTTTGCATCTCGTTGGATTGAGCTTTGCATTGTGACGAACACACATAACGCATATCTGAACTGATTAACTTCCTGTAGAAGTCACAACAAATGCACTGCCACACATTCATACATTGCCTTGACTGCGGCTAAAAACACAATAAAACGCAGACCGTTCTCTGATTAAGCCTAAACGGTGAAATGCGTTAGAGGTTGAGGATCGAGGAGGGCAGTTTTTGGACAGTCTGAAGGGAATTTATCAAAACCGGAGCAGGCAGAATGTGGAGCAGCTGTGCATGGCAACCAATCGGCTTCTGTCTTTTTTTTATTTTCAAATCTTAACTGAACAAACTGAAGCTAGAAGCTGATTGGTTGCTATGGGCAACTGCTCCAGTTTTGATAAATTCCACTCTGTGTGTTTTTTGCTCTGTGAATAAAGACTTTTCTTTTCCAGTAAATGACCCTGTGGAGTGTAGCACTTTTGAACTTTGTTTTTTATTTTACAGATAGTAAACTCTGGCGTAAAATAGATGTAAAGGCACGAGAAATAAAACCAAAGAGAGAATGTTATTGTTCCAAGTATTAGGTATTCGAATACAAATCGTCTCTGGTAGTGGTCCCTTGGGACTCTTTCTCCACCTAACACAAATGTAAGAAATAACTCGCCACCTGTTGCTTGAAAATTATGGCTTTTAATACCGGTATATACCTTCCCTGTCCTAAAATATCTTCTGGGTGTGTGGAATATCTGACTCACTCGCGCGAGCTGCGGTTCCATCCCTTGACACCCACATCACTACTGTGTACTGTCATGAGATAGGGGTCGGCACATGGAACTTCAGAGCGCAGAGGAGGACCAGGTATCCAGCACATTCTGGAGTGTCTGATGCAGGTGAGGTAACGATCTCTATTGAAAACAGCAATGATGGGTAGTATGGACAGTGGGACAGGTGAGTGTTATAAGTTGCCTTTTCCATGTGGCATACTTATTTAGGTGGGTACAGGTCCAACTTCACCGTCCACATCTTACATATAGATGGCTTTACTTTAGAAGCTTGGGACTTCAAAAACAAACATTCACCCTTTAAAGCAGGGATGGGTAAACTCCGGCCCTCCAGCTGTGGTGAAGCTACAAATCCCATCATGCATCTGGCTGTGAGAATCTTGCAATGCCTCATGGGGTATGTAGTTCCACAACAGCTGGAGGAGTTTGCCCCCCCCTCCCCCCTGCTTTGAAGGGTGCATGTTTGTTTTTGAAGATGGACACTGTCAATGCACTATCACTATCCATGTTCTTAGTCAGTGCTGAACTAGTTAGTGAACAGAATAAACCAAAAACAAAATCCCCATAGTTAGTTTTCGGCAGAGCTCTATTTTTGTAGGTGTGGTAGGCAGGCCTACCTGAAACCTGCTTTTACAGCTACATAATTCTGTCGTGTGACAGGATTACTGCACGCTACAAAGAGCCTGTCAGGCCGGAGTCTACTGCCAAGTTACAGGACTCTTACTAGACATTGCTATTGTGTTACAAAAGACTATGCTTGCCTGCGGGATACCTAGGACCGGTTCAAATACATTTCATGTCTGCCTTCTGAAAACCCCAGGCGCTTGCTTGTCTCCGGCTTCAATATCTTCTGAATCACCTGTGTTGGAAAAATCATGCAGCCAGTGAAATCGGCTGATCTGTATGCATGCTGCAGGCCATTGCTAGGGACAGTATTGAAGTTGTTGGATCTCTTTTTAAAGGGCAGCTAGAGAAGATCAGCAGTGGCAGCACAGGTATTTCACCACAAGGAGCTGAG